AGAAAGGGGGATAATGTCACAAATATATGCATGTAAGCTAGTAATTACCTATATAAATAGGTAGAAGTAAATAGAAGTAGGTAAAAGCAAATTAATTCTATAATATCTTCTATAGAAGCTTCCAAAAAGCTTTATAGATACTACTTTGACTTTACAAGTGTCTTTAATTGATTTTTTGGATTAAAAATGTAGTCAACAAGTTGGCCATGTACCACATATGTTATTAGCTTGAAGACCGAGCTAACTATGTGGCCCACACGTAGAAAAACTTGCCTTGTAAGTCAAGGCATGTGTCCTATAAAGTCAACACATATTGGAGGTCTTATAGAACATCATCACATAGTACCTAATTAGATAGTATATATAGAGACAAGAGTGAAGCTCTCTTCACTCTTGTCAACTCTTTTCTTACTTCTTATCTAGTTTCAAGAGTCTCAAGTTTTCTTGTCTTTTGGAAATAAGCCATCCTAGTTTATTTTTAATATATGTACTTCCTTATTTTTATTTTTTTACTTTTTTTTTGACACGAATTTCATTGGTTTATGTATCATCTTTTAGTTCATGTCCTTGATACTTACATAGAAAGTAGAATTTATAGTAGATTTAAATTTATTTTATTATTATAAAAATTATCAAGATAGGAATTTATATTCTTAAACTGATATTAGTATTTTAGAACTATTATAGGAATTTTATAATTTATTTAAAATTTATTTAGATTTTTTTAGGAATTTTTAGAGAAATTTCCAAGACTTTGATAAAAATGAGTTTTATCACCTTAGGAGCCATTATGAAGAAATGAAGCGAGATTTGAAGGCCATGTAAGGTTTACAGGCTATTAAGGTGTTTTTAAATACCATGGTGAAGTCAAAAATATAATATATATATATATTGGTAAAAAATAAGAGGACCAACAGCTAGTCTAGTCTTTCTAAGAAGGGAGGTATACAAATCCCATATGAATTGTAGCACCTTAGATATAGATAGGAAGGTAAGACTAAGGCCTCAAGGCCTCTTGAGACAACCAAGATACAATACTTGTGAGCCTTGGTGAGGTTCGAACTCTTGATCTCTTAAGTAAATTATCCTTGAAGTAAAATTATTTATTTAACTTTTCATTCATTTACTCATTATTTTTCAAACCTTCATAACTTATTCATAGTAATTTAGATTTATATGTTTCTTACACCATTAGAAATATAAAAAAATATTATTTATAAAAATATAATTTTTACTTTTATTTTTTATTTTTTATTAGGTAAAAAATCAATGAATAAATTCTAACTAGTTTTGTAGTATACAATTGCTTGATTACATTTGATTCACTTATTTTTGTATTTTGCTTCTTTTATTATTTTTGTATTCTTGTTCTTGCTACTTTTACTTCATACCATCTATTATTAATAACTTTTAATTGAAGCCATCTTGTTATTGGACTAAGAAGTAAATTTTACACTAATAGATGCCAATAGATATCTTCAATATCGACAAAGAAATGATAGAAGAATGTTTGCAATTAAAGAAATATTTATTGATAACAAAGATGTTATTCTATTTTATCTAAAATTAACTCAAAAGTACAATTATCTTATTAATATTGAGATATGTACATCTATTTGTGTTGTCAAGTATATCTACAAATACATCTATAACAGCCATGATCGCATTATAATGCACTTTGAATTTAATAAGACAAGATTAAACAATATTTGGATGCAAGACACATTATAGCTCTAGAAGTTACTTGGATATTATTTGGCATGTGAATCCATGAAAAAATGCCAAATGTTGTTTGTTTGGCCATTCATCTACCAGGAATACATCAAGTTCTATATGATCCAAATAAGAAGGCAGCTGTAATTTTAGAATATATTGAATGACAAAAGATAATATCAACTTTATTTTTTGAAACATGTGCAATAATTCTAATGGCAAGAAAATGTACATACCAAAAGTTTTTACAACATTTTGTTTGGCATAAGACTAGAAAGATGTAGACATTAAGAAAACATAGATTTGTTATTGAAAGATTATATTTTACAAATCTTGTAATAGGAGAAAGATACTATTTGAGGCTTTTGTTAATTCATGTTAAAGGTCTACAATCATTTGAGTATTTAAAGACTATTAATTGAATTTTCCATCCAACATTTAAAAGTATATGTGTAGCTTTAGGATTGCTTGAAGATGATGGAAAGTGGCAACAATGTTTAGAAGAGGAATTAAGAATATAAAATAGATCTCAATTGATGACATTATTTGTTATTTTTTTATTATAAAAAAATCCGCTAAATCTATTAAACCTATAGAAAAGATTTTAGAAAAACATCTTAGATGATGTCAATACTTGTTTGTAAAGAGAATATGGAATTAGCAATCTAATAGAAGATCAGATTAAGGATTTTGAACTTTTCTTGCGAGATAAGATTTTGCAAGACTTTGATAGAATACTTACATAGTTTCTTCAAATATCATTATCAAGAAATAATTGTAATGCAATACTTAATGAAAATCAATTTATTGCTGAAGAAAGAACATAGAAAATTTAATAATTAGAAGCAAATTTATACCAATATATTCCACAATTGAATCTTGAACAAAGAAAGGCATATGATGACATTGTGGCCTCTATAATGGAAGAACATGGATGCATGTTTTTTTCTAAACAAATCTACAAGAAGTGGTAAGTTTTTTTATTTACAACACTTTGGCAACTAAAGTTTGATTGATACAAAAGATTGTCGTATGTGTTGTATTATCAAAAATTGCCACATTGCTACTTGAGGAAAGAAGAACTGTCCATTCTACATTAAAGATTCTATTAGATTGTAATAAAGACTCTTTTTATTCAATTACTAAGAATTTTAGCCATGTTAAGTTTATTTGCCAAATTTTGCTTATTATTTAGGATAAACTTCTAATACAACATCATTATTATCTTGAGATAGTTGATTGTCCCTTTAGAGACATTCAAAATATTAATTGCTTATTTGGAGGAGCTACAATAATTTTTGGTAGAGATTTTTTCTAAATATTATTACTCATTGTGAAAGGAATTCGAGATGAAATTGTAGCAGCATCTTTTTGACATTCAACACTTTGGCCTCAAATAAAAATCTATACATTAAAAAAAAACATGAAGTTGAATTCATGAGTATTTTAAGAAAATATTGAGTTTGTTGATTGGCTTCTTCAAGTATAGAAAGCACACATGTATTACATATATAGATTATAATGCATTTGAATTCTTTATGGTTACATTATTATTAACTAATATTTCTATTTGCTACATGCTAGATTGAAAATAGTACAAACTTATTGCCTAATAATATTATTACACTTCTTGATTACATGATTGTTAATCAAAAATTAATATCTTTAGTGAATGTTATTTATTCAAGACTACCAAAAGATGGTATAGTAAATGATGCCTCCTTTAGAGATAGAATCATTTTATTCACATAAAATAATGATATAGAAGATATTAATGAAAAGATTATGGCCATATTTCCTAGAGAAGAACAAGAATATCAAAGCATTGATGAAATTATTGTTGAAGATAGTGTCGACAATAGTAATGTTTATCTAGTCAAATTCATCAAGTCACTTAATCCATCTAGAATGCCCAGACTGAGGCTTTTTCTTAAGATTGAGACTTTGATGATACTACTAAGAAATATTGCTCCTTGCCAAGGACTTTGCAATGGAATTTGATTGGTAGTTATACAACTAATGGATCAAGTTCTTAAAGCAAGAATTCTTAGAAGAAATTTTGTTAAAAACTTGGTGTTTATTCTATGAATTCCATTAACTTTTACAACAAAAGATCTTCCATTTATTCTAAAGCAATTTCTAATCCGTCTTGCATTTGAAATAAAATAAAATAAAATAAAATAAAAAAATCCAAGAACAATCAATGAAGCATGTGAGTTGGATCTACAACAATCTATTTTTTTTTCCATGGTCAACTGTATATAGCATTCTCTCAATGTACTTCCTTCTATTCTATTAAGATTTTTCTTCTTAGAAATGACAATTTAAATTCCACCCTAAAAATTATATTTCCAAAAGTTTTAATCAGATAAATATTATTAATTTATTTTTTATATTTTATATTTTAATTTATTATTTTATTAATTTCAGTACATCTTTAAATGTCTTAATATACTTTTATGATTTTTTAATGTAATTTAATATTTTTTTATTTTTACAAGTAGTTTTTTAAACTAAATTAATATTTTTTTGTATATTATCTTTGGCAATGGCATGGATTTACTTATCCTACTTTATACTTAAAAGCTGCATTGTATATTTTATTTCTTTTTATTTTTATTGTATTGTATTTGAATTTGTAAAAAGAAAATGGCTCACATTTGAGTCACACTTTTTGTGACAACAATATGGGTTCATTTACTCTCTTATATAAAACAACTCAAGGATATAAACCTAAGGAGACAAAAATTATCTCTAATTGATTGCATATTTCATTGTTTTCATCAAAAGTGTAGCAAAAACTCAACTTTTGATCAATCAAAGATCCAAATACATATGTTGATGCTAAAGATTGTTAAGAGTAGAACTATGAGATAGCTAGGTGTGGAGCTTGAAAGTACCACAACTTGGAATGGCATGGAATGTGGAGTTTCACATCATATGAAAATGCAAACAAAAGGTTAATTTACACTGTGTAGTTTAAAATGTTTTTTGTGCCCAAGAACACAGGTTTCCACTAGTATGTATGTATGTATGAGTGTCAGCACACGATGGGACAATAGGAAACACCTCGGAACCTCCGCCGTCACAGTGGTTCAATTCAAAGCATCATGCACAGCGACAAGGCCACCGACGAGCCCTAGAAGGCCACCGACGAGCCCTAGAAGGCCACCAGGCACGCAAGCACGGACGCATTCACAACGGACAGGGACGGACGCGGTGATGGGACACCGGGGCAAGGAGCGGGTGAGTCCTCCCCACCCCGATGGGAAAAAGACGGGGTCACATGCGTCATTCATTCGACGACGACCCCGTGGTGCGTCGCCATGGCAGCACCCATGATACGCGCCTGCTGCTCTGCTGCCAATGCCCGGCCCACTCTTCCATTCTGCTCCCCCACGCCGCCTCTGCGACCATCTAATCTGCTTTCGCATTCTGGAATTAGCGTGAATTCAAGGAGGTCCTCCGTTTCAGTAGTGCGGCGAGGAGTAGGGTGGAGGGGAGTTTTACGAGGGGTTGCGGTGTCGGGTTTAGGGTCTTGGGCGTTGTCTGGGGTGGGGAGGAGGACGGTGAGCATGGCGAGTAGCTTGGGGAAGTTGAAGAGGGAGGAGCTTCAGGTGTATGACGATGCCGAGCAGCTGAATGCCAGCTTGGCTGCGCATGTCGCGGATGTAGCCAAGGCCGCGATCGAGGCTCGTGGGTTGTTCTCTGTGGTCTTGTCTGGGGGTTCGCTCATCAAATCGTTGGGGTGAGTGGATCTGGTTTTTGGGTTTTTGTCTCGGTGTGGTGTTGGGGTAGAATTTGAGGCTGTGTTTGCTCTCTCTGGGGATACTGTCTTCGAAGGGGTTGATTGGTAATGTTCGCATGGTATGAATGGTTAAGGACTTTACGTCATCAGGTTTTACTTTACTAGTGTGATTGTGGACTTTTACAATTATAAGTAGCGGCGATCGTGTGGCGTGCTTTTTTGGGGTCGTGCTGAAGTTGCACAGTGGTGTGAGTTTTATACTAGAAGGAATATGCTCGTGAAATTGTATTCATTTGTGATTCTTTTAAATGTTAGATGGATGTGACAATCATTTGCTGTTAAAGCAAGGGATTGGGACTGTATGTGCCCGATATGTTTTTTGGGGGGCATTCTGTACCATTTGTTTTTCCATTTGACGAACGTCAGACCTTAAGACTGGGAGCTGATGTGCTTATTCGCTTTTTCAGGAAGCTGTGTGAATCACCGTATCTGGAGTCAATAGACTGGGCTAGGTGGCATGTTTTCTGGGCAGATGAGCGCGTGGTGAAGAAGGATCATCCTGACAGCAACTACAAGCTCGCGTGGGACGGACTTTTATCTAAGGTGACAACCAACTTCCTGCGAGAATTCACTATCACTTAGTACGAATGTCTTTTTTTCGTGAAATTATATCGTACGGATAAAAAGAATGCCGACTTTGTATCAATCTGTGATGTTTTGAATTTTAAGTTTTCTGAAATATCCTAGTATGCATATTAGAAGCATGTACAATTAAACTCTTACATTTGGAACAGTGAGACTTGAGAATCTTTCAGTCTTATCAGAAAGTTGAACGTAGGGAGTAGAAGAGGATGTTTTTTTTTCTTGCCCATTTGTTAATAGCGTAGGCATTTATACTTTTCTCATGCAGAATTTCTGTACAAGTCACTGTGAAGAATCTTCTCAAGAATTCAGACTAATTGAATTCTCTGGAGTGATATTGTACTGGCAGCGTAATTGGGGGCATCGTGACAAATAGTTTCTACTTTGCAGGTGCCGATTCCGCCGGGTCAACTGTACGCAATCAACGACGCATTGTCGACTGAAGCCGCTGCAGAAGATTATGAAACATGCATCAAGCAGCTGACGAAGACCGGGGTGGTTGGCACAGCCGATGGCTATCCACGGTTCGACCTCCTGCTTTTGGGTATGGGACCAGACGGCCACTGCTGCTCTCTTTTCCCACATCACCCACTCGTCCAGGTGAAGGACAAGTGGATCGCCCCCATCACCGACTCTCCAAAGCCGCCCCCCGAGAGGATTACCTTCACAATGCCAGTTGTCCAGGCTGCTGCAAATATCACCTTCGTGGCTAACGGCGAAGGAAAGGCCGAAATGCTTGCCAAAATTTTCGGAGAGGAGTTACCGTTGGGTGACCTTCCATCCCAAAGCGCACGCCCCCTGAATGGGAAGCTTATTTGGTTTGTTGACAAACCTGCTGCGTCAAAGTTGTAGCATATATAGCTCTTGTTGCTCATACTTATGTAATTCTCATCCGCCATAGGGTTTTTATGAATGGACTCTAGGTGGCTTTTCTCATGATCTGTAGCCTAGCATCTTATGAATGACTGGATACGATCAAAACACTTCTGTAATAAAAACACGTACATTCTACCTTTTGTACTTGCTGAGGAGTCATGTAGACATACTTTTGCTGATGTCGCTTGAATTTTACTCCTCAGAACGTTGAGTGTGTAATTTTACAATCGGATGCATTGGTGGTTTCAGGGTACACCTCATAATGTGGAATTTTTGGTATAGGGACATTTTTGCTTTTTGATGTTTTTGTTTAAGAATTGTTTGGTTTTTGCTTGAGAAAACTGTGGTGCTATTATTTTTCCTTGTAAGTGGAAAGAATGATTAAAAACAATTTACCAATCTTTTTTAATCTTTTTGGGTACTGTGAGTCTATGTGAAATTTCTTGGAAGGGATTGCAGGTAAATGTCTTCATTGTAAATACCGGAGCTTAGGAAGTCATTGAATCATAGAATGGGGACCAGTTCATCAAAGAATTGGTGACACTTCTGATTAACACCCTCGTTCGCATGGTACCTATCCATCTTGCTTGCTTATCAAACTATTGTGGCACCCTTGATGTGCAATAATAAGAAGAATTTAGGTATAAATAACACACAGTATTAAAATTGTGCAATAATAAGAAGAATTTAGGTATAAATAACACACAGTACTAAAATTGCTCAACAGTGGAATTCTTGAAGAAAGTAATATTTAAAAGTTTATGCTAATTTTTCTTAAATTTATATTTAAAACATATATAATTAAAAAAATATTTTATTTTTAAAATAAAACTCTAGTTATGCATAACAACACATGATTTAATTTAACTATAATTGAGATGGTATATGGAAAATTATGTGCAATTATGCAAGTTTTACATAATATGAAGTTTTATGTTATTTTGATTTTTTTTAATTTAAATTTTTGCATGAAGTATATATATATATATATATATATATATATATGTATATAAATTTTTAGTTTTAAAACTTTGCAGTACAAAAACTAAATTGACGTACAAAGATGAGAAATGATTAATTTCGTCTTTTAGAAATGATTTATTTTATTTATTTTTCAATACAAGTAATTGTATATATGGTCATGGACAAACATCAAATACATCAAATACCCTTTAGAATATCTAAAAATGTATTATAGAATTAAATACCACTAGAAGGTCTCAAGTTCTAATCTAAATGGTGGTGTCACTTTTAATATTTTTTAAGGCATTAATTTACATAGTTACACTATATATTTTAAAATAATTGCATCTTTTTTTGGCTATTATTCTCTTTAATCTACCCTTGGGCTACTTTTATTACCTTGGGAGCAATGTAAGAAAATTTATCAATTTTTTAAAACTTCTTCAAAATTTTCATTTGGATGAACACCCATTCTAAATATTCACCTTTTTGAGACCAAATATAGATATCAATATTCAATAGCAAAGTAACAACCACCAATATTAAAAACTTGTTAGCCACTGAAATAGATGGTAGAAAACAACTGTTTTATATTTCAAATATATTTGCAATATAAAATGCATTAGATTAGAATTAACTAGCACTCTCATTCACATATTCATGTGAGCCACTTCATTTTAAAACACATATCTTAAAAAGTCTTTTCAATTTGGGAAGAAGACAAGAGACCACCCCCTTCGCTGGAAGACCCCCTTCACTGGAAGACCCACCTCACTGGAAGACCCACCTCACTGGAAGACCCCGCCATTGGAAGACCTCCCCTCACTGGAAGTCCCTCCTCCCTGGAAGTCCCCACCTCACTGGAAGACCCTCTCTATTGGAAGCCTGTCTTCATTGTCTGCAATGCCTTCATTCATGGCAGAGCTCTGGCTCAACTAGGAATGAGGCAGAATTGCAAGTAAATTTCGGTTTAGAGAGGTTTTTATCTTTATTGTTTTTATTTATTTATTTGTTTTGTGTGTTGTGAAGGATTAGGGTTCAGAAGCCATGGCGATTGTGTGGTGTTCTCCTTCACCTCACAAGAGTAAACCTAAGAGCAAAGTGGAAGAACATGGCAAGGAGGAGGAAGAGGATGAGAATGTGCAGCAATTGGAGGATTGCGCTCGCTTCTACAAACGTCTCGAGGTTGTTTTGTCGCCTGATTCATCTCATTCTTGATCTGTTTGACCATACGCGTATCATTGATCCCTGTCCATCTTCACCTGGACTTGCTGCTTTTTGACAATTAGCTCCTGTGAGTTTTGGTGTAGCATTACGACCTTGGAGTGTTTTTGCAATTCGCCAAATGCTTACATGGGATGTTGTGTCTCTTGGTGCTCTGCGTAAATTCTGTCAGTAATGCTTGATGAAGCGAGTGATGAAGTGTGCGGTAGAATTTGCTGGTCACGTTCCAGGGTTTAGGGTTTAAGGTCTAGGGCAAGTTGTCTGGATATTGTGAGAATGGCACTTGGTGTTTCATCTCCTCTGAAATAATTGTTCTGGAGGCATGTTGATGTTTGAAATGCACATGCCTTCGTATTTTGGATTTTTTATTTTTTATTTTTTTTATAAACACATCCAAACTCATTTTACTGGAGTACTTTTGTAACATGTTTATACAGTCTCTTGCGATCGAGTCAGTGATTCAGTTGTAGAATTCTTGCTCTCCAGCTATTGGGCTTCCCTTATGTAATTGGTAAATCCAGTAAAATGTACTTGGTATGCCGTCTGCAGGATTGCTTGGTGAAGACAGATAGGAACTGGAGGGCTTGCCAAAATGGTGGGTACTTTCCCATCCTGCATCCAACTAGTGGCTCTAAGGGCCCCGCAATCATATTGTGAAAATGGAAATAGGGAACTAAAAAAGAATTCATATTTGTTGCAAGGTCTCTGTGGCTTTCAGGGCTGTATCCTTTCACGAGAGTATATGTCAATTTGGCTTCAAGCCCTATTAGCTCATGGTGTTGGAATTGTGGAGATGCAGAGGTCAAGGCTTTAAGGGAATGTAACGATGCCAAAGCTAAGAAGTCTACATCTTCGAGCACAACTGCGCAGGCTAAGTCAACTTGATAGGTGTCACAGATTATCAGACAGCCATTGGTTTTCAACTTCGAAGATTCAAAAAACCACCTCCATTTGCTGTATTTTTTAACAGCAAAAGCAGGGAGAGAGAGAGAGAGAGAGAGAGAGAGAGAGAGAGAGAGCGAGAGAGTGGGAGAGGCTGAGTTTTAAAGATCGCCGACTGCTTTTTGCAATTAGCAGACATCGAAAGTGGAGAGTAGTAATTTCCTTTTGAAGATCACTCGATATACCTGTCAGGATGCATTTGCTTCTTCAATCCCAGTCGAATCAGTCATCCCTTCGAGTAAAGAATTTAATTTGTCAGATCAGGCTTTCCGCGTTGGCAATTAATACAAGGCTTCCCGTATGTTATGTCTAAAGGCCTACTCTCTTAGTGCCTGCAGCTTAAGGTGAAGGACCAGATAAAGATGGAACCACAATTGTAATGCTTGGATATTGTCTATTTTTGGATCAGCAATGCAAGTTTATGCACCACATGCATGTAAGTCGGTTTCACAACTTCCAGTAAGCGATGCCGCCCACCTAATTGCCACACTTTTTAAGTGGTAACCTTCCTGCAATCTCGTGGTGGTAGCGAGGAGCCACCAGATTGACGTTTTTGAAATTTTGGTGATTAAGCAAGAATCTTGCAATCTGCCTCTGAGATGGAACTCTGGAACAGCCTGAATTGCGTATATCTTAGATTCTGAAAATAGATGAATAAACATGACATTATTATCTAAATCATCTTCGAGAAAATCTACTGGAATACTCGCAATGCGCTAAGTTTCGAGCAGGAGTGTCAATAAGTGAAAGAATGCCGTGTCTCAGACGGTGTTTTTTTTCCTTTTTTCAACTGTATTGAATCCCATATTAACTTCTAAAAATCATCCAAATCACAACATCTATAATTACATAAGTGTTGTAATCTGTAATTCTCTTAATCTCCTTCTGACTATGAAAGTCAGATCAGCAAAGAATAAAACTAGCAGGAAAAAATTAAGTGAGAGATCCAGGAAATTCTCGTGGTGCCACTTGGGAGCAAAGAATTCGGCAACTGCAGAGGAAGTGCAACATTTTCTGAACCCGCTGATGCACAAGTGGAGATCAATTCTGCAAGCAGTGAAGTGCTTGAATGTGACACTGCTGCATTGAACCATATCCAGTCATATCTATCCTGGACTAGGTTAAAATTGCCTTCACGAGGAAGTGATTGTCGCCCTCGTAGGCTACGGTGGTTAATGTAGGAACTAGGATTGTGGAGCGGGAGGACCAGTGTTTAATTCAATGATTTGAGTGGCAGTTATCGTCGCTAAATCCTTAGACGGAGTCAAACTTTGATTGACGTGAAATCGTCGATTTTGAGCCCAAAAGTGCGGGCTTCGAGTTAACTTTGCATTGCGAGTAGATTGTCGCTGTTTCTGTGGCTATGGCGGATGAGGACCCAGCTGACGACACCGACGAGTTGCCGCCTTTGCCTACGCTCCCCTCCGGCCGATTCCTTCGTGACGATGACGGTCCTTTCCCTGACGACGGTGATGAATCCCCGCCCGCTTCGCCCCCAAAGCAGAAAGAGCGCGGTCGCTTGCGAATTCAAAACGTCGGAGGTTCGCTTACCTTCCTCCTGCAGGTGGGATCCCACGCCCTTTCTCCGTTGCTCCCAGCATCTCCCTCTCCGCACGTCTTTATTCCTGATCGTGGTATGGGCGTTTCCGTCTCCCTGGCATTTGATGGAGTTTGTTGCAAAATAGGGTTTAGAAATGCAATATTCGAGAAGTGTGTGCATTGAAGTCCATGGCGTGGGAATTTAGAGGTAATCACCGCAGCTATCTCATTGTTGAGATTTTGAATAGTGCAGGAGTACCCAATAGTTTTGAAGCTTAGCATTGTGGTCGTGGTTCTATAGATTTTAAAACTGTTTCGAATTCGTTCATCAGGTTTTTTGAGCTTGTCACTGCAGAATTGTAACTCACACTGCAATACCGTGAGTTTACGGCATTTCGACTGTCAGAATTACATATTATACAGCTCTTGTCGCCCTGGTCTGAGGTTTAGAAAACATTACCGTCTGCTATCTATTTTGGATGTGAACACCCATCACTACAACCATTTTAGTGAAGGTTTACATAGAGATTGATGAATAGGCTTAGACCATCCCTTCGACAATGGAGTTTTTATCACATGGTTCTGGGCCCGTCAATGCGTATGCTAATTGATCAAGCAATGCTTGTGATCAGATAGCGCTCTTAGCTTGGGGAATCCGGCAATTGCGTAGTGTTCTAGCACGTCGACGACAGGACAATGCGCTTGGCACTGGAAGGCGAGTGAACGTCATGCCGTATCGGCCCGTGGAGCCGCCTTTATTCGCGCACTTAAGTCCAATGGCTGTGAAGAAGCTCGTGGAACTTGACCCCGTCCCCCACCACCTCATCGACGTTCGTCACCCCGATGCGACCCGCATGGAGCCCAAGCTCTTTGAAAGTGTAATCAACATTCCCGGTAAACTTCATCAAAGTCTTTTTGCGCTTGTATTTCATGTGGGAGGAGGAATAAGGATAGGATATGTGTGAGAAAATGTGACAAAGGCTAACGGTGGGTTACTTCGAGCAGAAACGGATCTGAGAGCTTGTTTACAGCTCTCAGCAATTGAGTGGAGAGCGAAATTTCCCTCTGCAAAGAAACCAGGCCGGGAAGATTTGATAGTATTTCTGTCAAATCGTGGCAAGCGTGCTCAGCGCGTTGCCGCAGCTGCTGCTGATCTGGGTTATAACGGGTAAGTTTGAGTCCTCAAACACTGAGTCTTTCTCATGAAAGAAATTTCTTCTATTCTAGAATGTCCAGGATTTTGTCTCGTTCTCTCCGCAGTACCTAGTGGTGTAATCTCAGGTTTGTGGTATTGGTGATTGATGTAGGTGCTGTGTTTTGAAGGGCGGTACTCATGCATTACGTGCAAGTTTTTCCGCCGATGCTGGAGGTTTACATTACATGAGCAGGTATTTGATTGACGGGTTTCAAGTATAATGAGAAGAAAAGGTGGTTGAATATCAACTGCTCCCCTTTTTATTGTCTATATACCTCTACTTCTATCCCTCATTCATATCTTCTGTTCGTGCTGTAGGGATGCTGTTGCTCTGTTGCTCCAGAATAAAGAAGCCATGACAGATGAGAAGAATGTGAGAGCGAACACTCCGTGGTTGATTGACCTGCGCAGGCACGATGAACGAGCTCTATATGGGCACATTAAGGGGTCTTTGCATATTCGAGGTATGAACAGACCTCTCCATGGGGGTTCAGTGAAGACTAGAGCGCATTGTGGATGCTCTTTAGTCTGATGATCCGTGTAATCAAGTGGCACAAATGGTTTTTTCTTACTTCATTGGGTACATGATGGTTGTGTGAACGAATGTTTGAACTGTAATCGTGTGGCTGTGTAGTGGAGGAGTGGCCGAAGGCATTGGCGAAAGATCTTGCTGCATACGAGAAGCAATATCATAAACCCAAGTTTGGCACTGATGACATTATCATCCTCCACTGTAAGTTTTTAACCTCACCTTGGATCGTTTCTCTACCCTTTTTCCGTATCTTTTTTATTCTATTTCATTCTATTCTGCAAGTTTTTCATTTCATGCCACTCCCTCATTTAAGACTGTTGTTGTCACGTACCTTCTGCACTTTTTATTAGTCTTAGAGAGGTCTCCTCAGCCTATGCAGAGTTATCTTCGAGTCAATGCTCAAAATCGTTTGTGGTAAGGGACCTCGTAGTGAAACAGGTTTCGAATGTTGGTATTAAATTTTACTTCAATGTGTGAACTTCGAATTGTACAGGCAGATCGAGCAGGCGTGCTTCCTGGGCAGCTTACCTAGCTCAAGATGCTGGTTTTAAACGGTACCACTGAGATAATGACTCCCTTTTCATGTTTCGTTTTCTTTCGATATTTGCATGTTTTCTTCATTTAATGTTTATTGCCATTAATTACTGCCAGAAACTCCATAACATCTCAAGTTGGGTGCCACGGAGTCATCTGTGTAAAGTCTGCTTTATCTCATACTTCTGAAGCACCAGTGTTGGAACTTCTAGAAATCAGAGAATGGAGTCGGGTACTGGACCATGACCTCTGAATGATGTCTATATGGATTTCTTCACTATTAAGTCCTCGCATCAATGTAATCTTACAGGTGTTTTGTTTACAAGGAGGGCGCTTATGGCTGGCGCTTGGATCCAACAGTCCTTCCCTATGACAGTTATGAACTGGTGAGCTCGTGAAGCCCCTTACATTCTTGCTTTACTCAAATTGGGATAGGTTTTTCAAGGGATAGTCCCAAATGATCCTCTCGAACGTCCTCATTTTGTACTGCTGTTTGAAAGCTTAAATTAACCTTACTAGCTACTTCCTATGCATTGCTAATTTACAAGTTGTATGACTGGCAGGGTGATGTGCCACCAGAGCCCGTCCAATTTGACTTGGAGAGAGTAAATTTTGAAGATGCGCAGTCGGAGCTGAAGCACTTGGGACTACTTTAACGTAGGTTTTAGAATCTAGTAATGCACCGAGAACAGTTTATTGTGATGAGATGAGCCTGTACTGAGGGGTTTTGTGTTTTGGACTTGATTAGAATGAGGGTTAAGTACAGCTGAAAAGAATTTCAAGAACAAAAGCGAATACAGGGGGTGTTCAAAGAATGTGTGTTTTTCCTCCTGCATGTTCTCAGGCCTTTGTTCAAAGAACCAAACTGAAGTTCAAATCCCATTCCCACCTCTTGAATGCTACAGTCCATCTGGCCATGTGTTGTGCAAAAATGTGAACAACATGAATTGCCTTACTCCATGTCTCTATATTATAAACTAATATATTTCCTATGGAGTAGTTGTAACTTCCCCGAATATAAAATATTACAATTTAAAGAAATGTTGGATAGTTACATTACTGGACCACTTCATTTCTGGGTCACAATGTAACCTCATCATGCCAAAAGAAATTCATCTTTATCATTCCTTTCCTCTTTCCATGCACACATACTTTGCACAAGTATGTATTGTAACTACCATCATAATTACATTACTTGTTAAGTGCACACATGAAAAATATGGTAACCATGATGAATGTGGTTGACTTTTATTGGTTCTAAACCCAATAGTAGAGAAATGAATCTAGATTTTTTTAATTTTTTTTCCTGATGGTTAGGATGAGAGTCAATTTAGTAAGAGCATGGATCTATTTAACATTCCTATAACAATATAAATGTATATATATATATATATATATATATATATATGATTTTGTTTTGTTTTGTTTTGTTTTTTTTTCATACATACACAGATACCCATATTATTGCAATTATCAAATGAATGGAAAAATTGTCAGGAGAATTGGAATGCATCATCAAACTTGCGCTCTTCAACAAAATCCAAGCAGAAAGTCCAATTGTGTGCACAGAGGTGCAACTTGCACAAGCGAGCAAGTGGGTGCAGGTGTGCTATGGTTGTGTGTTGTGTTTTTGTTGAAGCTTCCCAAATGTGAAAGCACATCCGTCAAAAATTGTTTTTCTCACTCACGTGAACCATCTGAGATTGCATGACATTGTTGCCCTCTCCTTCAGTTTACCTGATCTTGTGGGGTTTAGATCAAGGTTGTGCATGGAATGTCTTTGGTTCGATGTTTGTGCTGTTTCAAAGAATCTAAACATGTGAATTCAGACTTGTGGAGTGTTGGTGGGAAAAAACCCAATGTTTATTGCTGAAGGATCTATGATTATATGAACAAATTAAATAATTAATTAGTGATAATTAAATTATTTGCATTTCAAAAAGTGGATTGTGAACCATGCTCACCATGATTGAGGCATACACAAGTACCCCTTTGACTTGGTTTTCAATGCCACGTGGCATGTTTCTAAGGACGACACGCAGCAATTTAGGCTCATGTATTCTACAAGTTTATTTTTTTAAAAGCTGTTCATTAGCTCTTTACAACCTTTGAGGATCCTTTGTGTCCAGCCAGGTGTCCAAATGGAATGCTCTTGAAAATGGTGCCAATATAGATTCATTCCCAACCAACCCCATGATCCATATTAATAAAGTAAAATAAATTTTATGATGTTTAAAATATTCATATAGTTTTCAATCGATTTATTTTTTGGGGTTTTCAATTTAACAAACACAAGGCCATGCAGAAATGTTTTTAGATACACATCTCTATTAGGTTTACCTCAAGTAACCATATATTATTTATTATTAAAATTTAGGGTACAAAATTAACTGTGCATGATTCCATGTGAGTGGAAACAATGTGTTAGTTATTTAGAAGTTATGCTTCATGGTCAATATTGAATCCATATAGAAGGGCTATTTTGAAGGATTTGTCATTATTGATATGTGAAACCAGTACACATAAAAGTTTCAAACATTGTGTTGCTTTACAGTTTGAATCCAAGTTCAAGGAATAGAGAAATTAAAATTTTATTCATTTTTTTTGTTTATTTATGTATTTTTACTGAATAAGTTTCTTCAAGCAACCCCTCAAATTTGTGTGCACCATTGAATTACAAGAATTGCCAATTATTTTATAATTTTAAATGGTAGGTACCATTTTAGAAGGAGAAATAAAAAAAAAGGACAGAAATAATAAAAGTTGCAGAAGGAGAATGATCAGAAAGACATGTAGCAAGAAAAAGCAACTTAAAAAAAAAGGAAATCACATACAAATAAATACAAAAGAAAAGAAAAGAAATAAATAAATTTAATTGTCTTGCCTTCTGGAGATATTATTATGTGCAAAGAGACAATAAAACATACCATGTCATTTTTCTTTTGTAATTTTAGACAAGGAATATCATTTATTAAATATTCCACAGAATATATATATATATATATATATATATATATATATTATACACATTTATTGATATACTAAAAAATGCAGCTTGTTGCTGGATCAACCTACAACTTCTTATAAACTAGATTACTGGACTCCTATAATCTATTGTAAAATATCATAAATAAATTATCTATTAATACTAAAATTATTGGCAAAAAGCCTCTGCTCTGTTGGTAAAAACAAATTCTTGCGTGTGTGTGTATTAGCTTTTAAAGAATGGTAAAGTATTGAAAACATTGTTAATGTTTTCCATCAATTTCAAGTTTTTGAAAATATTGACATAAGAAATTGAGTTTGTAAAAATTTATTTTAGAAAGGTGTTCAACCTGATAGGGATAAAAACTAGTAAGAGATGGTTTGTGGTTCACATGAGTGTATTCATAAAAAATGCATAAATGAAAAAGAAAAAAGGAAAACCCTTGTGATATGTTTATTGCTAAAAAAAACATTTGTAAGGATAAAATTATATTTTCAATATTTAATTAAATTCTTAATCAAAAGTATATATTTCATTTATTTTAGGGAAAATATATATATGATTTTTTATGTGACTTACGAAAATTAAAATTTTATAATTAGAACTTATTAGTACTTTGAAAAGTTGATTTAATTTTTTTTTTCTACTTATTAACACCTTAGTCTCACTCTCTCACACACACACACACACACATATATATATATATATATATATATATATATACACACACTATTTACAGAATATATTTATATTTTTTGAACATATAATTACTAAATATCAGAAATCGTTTTGTTAATATAGATGCAATGTTGGTTACATTTGCAATTTTAAGTAACAGAAATGTCTTATTACAAGTATTTTTCCTTGTAAGTATCATGACGTAGATATCTAATTTACAATACATATAATAATAATTATATAATTTAATCTCATGTAATGCAAAAATAACATCCAAACTTGTATAAGATACAATCAAGTGAAAATAAAATAGAAAAGTAAAAAAGTACTTGTATATTATATGTTACCAATAATTTGTATCTAAGATTATGTAAAATATAATATAAAAAAATAACCATTGAATTTCTTGTATACAATTCTTAAATCGCCTAAATACAATGTAAAAATCTTAATATCTACTCTTGAAATTTCAAGAATTAAATGTTATAACAGAAAAATAAGTTTATATTGCAATCTTATGTAAAATTATTTAAATTGTTTTTCAATATCTACACACACACATATATATATATATATATATATATATATATACATTGAATAGTTTTTATTGTAGGATCTTTTATACTTACATTATTATTGATATGATTATGCCATAGTTCTCAGTATGAATGGATTCTTTTCTTTTTTCTTTTAACTTCTAATATAAAGTTATACATAATTATGATTGTGTTTTTTCATGTACACTTTGTTTTATTTCATTTGTAGATTGTTCTTTATTTTTCTTTTTATACGCATTTTTTTACCTTATGGTTAACTTGTCCACAACATAAGCTTAATTGTCTTGCTTACTAATGAACTTTTTAGATGACTTAGTAACCCAAATACAATATTATGAATTTATATATCATGTAGCCCAACTCTTTTACTTTGAATGACTATGAAAAAAGTTGTCAAATTGTTGAAAAATAATATATATATATATATATATATATATATATATATATATAATTTTTCAATAGTTTGACAATTTTTGCATTTGGCAATAGAATTCAATAGTTTGATTTCAAAAATAATACTTCGAAAAAATTAAGTAAGATGTTATCTTTTTACTTTTTATCACAATTAACAAATATAATGAGTAAAATGTGTATCATTCCATTCTTTTTTAAGAAAATAACCAAGTATCAAAATTGTATTTTGCGGAAAGATGCCAAATACTTCTTTGTCACATAATTTAAATCTTATTGGTTGTTGCACAATGTTTTTTCTATACAACAATCAAAATTGTTCCAAAATTGCATTCTCTTGAAAGCAAGCAAGCAAGAAAGAAAAAAGAAAAAAGAAATCCTATTGGTAAGAAAAAGAAAAGAGAAAAAGAAGAAGATAGAAACAAGTGAAAAAATGACAAATACCAAAACAAAATGTCAATGCAATTTCAATAAATGAATGCGTAATAAACATTACTAGAGATGCTTGCCTGTAATATTTTCAACAATAAATTTTACTCCTGAAAACAATAAATTCCAAAGAGATTCTTCTGTTAGATTTGTAAGACTATTCTCTTCAGGGGGTTAATTAATATATAAGAAGCAATGAATTCGGTGCAGAAGAACAGAACCCAACGATAGAATGAACGAACGATAAAAGCGGCGTAAAGAAATGAGGCGATAAAGAAATATGGACAACGATAAAGAATTCTATTCAGAACGATCTTACCGAAAGCTCTGACACCTCATCAACACATTCGGGCTCTGGAAAAAGAATTCAACCACGACAATGTGGGCACGGGTGTGGGTGCACCCTGAGGCACGGGCACCGATTTCCATTTTCAGACCAGTCGACTGCGATCGATCGACCGATCGAACGAACAATAATAACCATTCCTCATCATGGCCCTATCGCCGAACACAGAGCAAAGTCACTAAAAAGCTTATTAAAGGGTAAGTTCCAAAAAGTAAAGTAAAGGATGTGTGTGTCTCAACATCTCCGTAATCCCGCCCCCGCCCGATCTGGCCCAATTAAGCGAATTTCAAATGATGTGTCATTGGCTACGACCCCGCCCATGTGGACAGCGAGGAGAGGGGAATCGAGCGGAACTGGAATTATTTAAATTTTTGTTTTGTTTTTATGAGGTTGTGAACTTGGTGCGCTTATGGGAAGAAACTAATTACGGGGAGGGGGAGTTTGTTGCGGAGGGGTTAGTGAAAGCTTGGTTGGCCATGGGGGCGAGGAGAGGAGACGAGGGGAGAATTATGGAGCATCGTCGCTGCAGCCTCGGATGCGGAGAGAGCACAAGCCACACGGCTGGCGATAGTTGTCGCCACTGACACCTTCCCACGCAGGAATCATCACGGAACGAGTGAGCGACGGAAGAGGGGGCCGCCCTTCGCGGACACGCGCTGTTCATCGGACGGGAGGAGGTTGCTCTGTGATGGTGGTGACTACTTGAGGGAATGAAAGGAGTATCGTCCTAGATGTCATTCAGTGTTGTTGGAACCACCGAGGCGCGTTGCACTCCGACCTCTCTCCTCCTCGCCGCTGGCTTGGTTTTCTGGCTCCTCGTCGGGCGTCATTTCTTCCACTTGACGCTGGCAGCGGCGTGAGGAAACCGGACAAGTGTGTTAAGGTTAGGCGGAGGTTTGGCTCGGCGCTCTCGGTGGTCCTTTGAACTGATCTCACGGTGTACTCAGCGTTTTGTGTGCGGCGGCCGTTTGTACTCTTGTTTTGGTAGAGTTTCGTTGCGTTTCGGGCCGGAGATCGACAGTCCGGCGAGGTCACTGATTCTTTTTCTCTGTTCTGTATTCTCATGCCTCCGTGTCTTCTATTTTGAGGAGAAGTCAGAGGGAGTAGTGACATTGGTGTGGAGTTCGCGGAGAAGGGAAGAAGTGGTGGTGCGTTGTGGTGAAGATGAAGGCCAGGAAAGGTTGCAGCGCGGGTACGGGGGGCGAGTTCAATGAGAGGAAACAGCCGCTACTGAAGCGTCAGAAGGAAAGAAAAGCACTGGCGTCGGATGCACTGCCATTGCCTGTGGCATTGACAAACAAGATCTTCATTGTGTCATTTTTCGTGGCATCGTATTTCCTGATGAGGTCGTGGCGAGATAAGATCCGGAGCTCGACCCCGTTGCATATGCTGTGTCTGTGGGAGATTGTAGCACTTATTGCCCAGCTTTCGTCGTTTATATATCTGATAGGATTTTTTGGAATAGATTATGTGCAATACTTCATCGGCAAGAGCGGTGATGGCTCTTGGGATTCTGATGAGGAGAGGGAATGCGTCAAATCAAGCTGTCAGGTTGTGCCTGAGGCACCTAAGGCTCCAGTTCAGCTCATGGGCGTGGGCTTATGTGACAATGAGGATGAGGACATTGCCCGCGCTGTGAGCAACGGTGATGTGCCTTCTTATTCCCTGGAGACGCAGTTAGGGGATACCCTGAGAGCCGCTTCAATTAGACGTAGAGCAGTGGAGTTAACCACAGGAAGGTCCCTTGAAGGTTTGCCATTGACGGGACTTGATTACAGTTCCATTATGGGACAATGCTGCGAAATGGTTGTAGGCTACGTCCAATTGCCGGTTGGGGTTGCTGGACCTCTCCTGCTCAATGGTCATGAGTTCACAGTTCCGATGGCCACCACTGAAGGATGCCTGGTGGCCAGTACCAACCGCGGTTGCAAGGCTATCCATCAATCAGGTGGTGCTACGAGCATTCTGCTGCAGGATGGCATGACGAGGGCACCCGTGGTTCGTTTCCCGAGTGTGAAGAGATGCGCAGATCTGAAGTTCTTTCTCGAAGATCCTAACAACTTCGACACTATTGCACACATGTTCAACAGGTCTGTCCATGTGTTACCTCATCGCATTTATATAGGTCTGGTTTTAATGAGCTAGCCCATGCCCATTAATATTGTGATTGAGCTCTATAGAATTACATTGGCCGTTGGGTTCCATCGAATGAAGATCTGCACGGAAGAACAGGGCACATTCAGGATCTCAATGCAAGTCACCTGTTCAATCAGATTTCCTAGGACGACTTTGCTAATTGCATTGAATTTTCTATTGATCATGTATCTGCAATTTAGCAATTTAGAGGAGAATATTTTGTGGATGATCTCCTTGAGAGCTTGCGTTGTACTCAAGTTTACTTCTTTTTTCCAGGACTAGTCGTTTCGCCAGGCTGAAACACCTCAAGTGCCAGTTGGCTGGTCGAAATGTCTACATTCGTTTCACAGCTATGACTGGTGATGCGATGGGGATGAACATGATATCCAAAGGTGTTCAAAACGTTTTGGATTATCTTCAGGATGTATACCCAGATATGGAGGTCATCAGTGTATCTGGTTCGTGACATACCTTGATTCTTTGTTCCTGATGATTAATCCAGAACACGGGATTGTAGTTGCATAATTTTCTACAGGCATGATAGTATTAGTGCATGCGTAGAATCTCACTAGCAAGTGGGTTTACGTGTACTAACGTACTCTGTTTGCATGCAGGTAACTTCTGTGCGGACAAAAAGCCAACAGCTGTTAACTGGATTGACGGCCGTGGAAAATCTGTTGTTTGTGAGGCAATTCTGAAGGGAGATGTTGTACGCAAGGTGCTGAAAACTTCAGTTTCCGCCTTGGTGGAGCTAAATATGGTCAAGAATTTAGCTGGTTCTGCCTTGGCTGGCGCAGTTGGAGGCTTTAATGCACATGCAGCGAACATTGTATCTGCTGTGTACATCGCGTGTGGACAAGATCCTGCTCAGAATGTTGAGAGCTCACAATGCATCACCATGATGGAGGCTGTCAATGGAGGTCAAGACTTGCATGTCTCTGTTACGATGCCTTCCATTGAGGTATGTACTTGATTTTTCAATTAACAGTGCTTTTAGATGCTGCAATAAGTGAAGTTTGCCCGACTGATTTTAAAATCTATATTACAGTGCTATTATGAATGCTTATGGATATTTCCATTATTTATTTGTTTTACAGGTGGGAACTGTCGGCGGTGGTACACAATTGGCATCACAATCAGCTTGCTTAAACCTACTTGGAGTGAAGGGAGCTAATGTAGAGTCCCCAGGGGCTAATGCTCAAACACTTGCCAGGATAGTGGCAGGAACAGTGCTGGCTGGTGAGATCTCTCTTATGGCTGCTTTGGCTGCTGGTCAACTTGTGAGGAGCCACATGAAATACAACCGTTCAAGTAACAACATGGCTGCTATCGCGAATGCCGCCTTGCCTCCTCTACCAACTAAGACTACTTCCGCCTGAATCTCGTGATAGAGAATATGGCAATTGTAACCTGTGTATCACTGAAGTTGTAATTTCTGCTGCAAGTCAAACTCGAAGCCATTCGTCCAACATTTTGATGATCTTTTGAATCTTCTACGGTTCGAAATGCAGATTTTGAGGTCCAGATCTTTGAATATTAACGCATCAAAGCTGGTTGTGCACCTTATTAGGAGATTTCTAGTTTCAGGCAGTGTTAAACTTGCTTGCTCCCCTCCGAAGCGTGCGCTTCCCCTCTATATTGCGTCACCAATTTTGTTTCGGATGGCATGACCCCCATAGCCATTCACTTAGACGATGGGGGACTGCGTTTAGAGCGCGATTTGAATCCTGTATAATGATTTTCTATAGAAACTACAGTCGATTTTTCTGAGTTCCTGACTCTGATGGTACCATGACAGTGCATTTAGATTTATTTTCTGACGATCTGGAACTAAGCAGTCTCGTGACAGCTACAGGTGCCGTATCCCATCGCTGGCAACGCCAGCAAATGTACAATTGTGGCTTTCTGCGAAGGGAATTGTCTGTCTGCTGATGAAAGTGTCCGAAGATATAATTGTCTGTCTGCTGATATAAGTGTCTGAAGATCTGTAAAGCTCGCTCCGTCCGTTCGTGACGACGCGAGCGCCTGTGAATATTGAAAGCATGAAATCTGCTTACAATTCTGACCATGGCATGCGGAGTTTCTCTTTTACATCTAGACCTCCCTTTTGCTGCAGCCTGCTGGAAGTTGTACATTTGGTATTTCATATGTGACAACCCAGTTTACTTGATCTACTCGCAATACGTTGATTTGAACTGTCTACATACATACATACATACATACATACATATTATGAGACTGTACCACAAGAGTGTGTTACATAATGTAGAGATCATAGAACGGACTTTGAGACGAGAGTGAAGCGTTTTTAATCACTTGCTAACTAGAATATTGTTGTCATAATTATGAAGCTTTTTATGCACTGAAGTTATGAATCTTTTAGTTAGGTGCTATGTAAACTTTTTAATTTGGCTATGACTTGTTAGTTTCCCACATTTCAAGGCTACACGTAACATAATTACTATGTAACATCATTCTCCATGTAGGTAGTGTTTCTTAATTGCATACACTGTGCACAGCAACTTTACAACCACTGTTTTATTTATAGAACACATTATTTCATTTGTTGTTTTAATTTGATTGTGTTGCGCACTATTTGAAGCCCTTCTGCATCATATGATCAAAGGCAGAGTTGAAATTGTTAATTGTTAAATTTTTCATTCAACAAACTTTTAGAATTGTGTGAATTTTTAGATCATGAAGGTATGGTAACGATTAAGATGAAATACCACCGTAAATTTGAATATTTTTTTTAAAAATCCGTCAAAAGTATTTATGAATGTACTATAAAATTTTACATGTTTCTCAAATTTTAATCATGGTTCAATTTTTTCATTCATTTAATTGTCCACTTTTTATACCAAATATGTATTTATGTTGAGTAGTAATAATTGTCAAAATAGACAAATTAATATATATGTTTATGAGAAGCGTAAATTAATTTACAATCAATATATATTAATTTGTCTATTTTGACAATATCGCTGTATTAAAAATTTACTAATGCTCTATAATTTATAATTTAAAACCAATATTTATTATTTCTAGTATTAAAATATATTATTACAATACAAACATATGTATATATATATATATATATATATATATATGCACACACAAATTTATTTTGTATCACAATGTACAAAGTAGTGGAATGACACAAATCATTTACTTTGGAATGGTTGTCAAAGTTTTTTTAAAATAGAACCAATCAAAATTAGAATCAAACTCTTTTTTGTCTTTGCAAATGTACCAAGTAAGTATTTATTGTTGTTGAGGCTAAAAATATATTATTTTAGAGCTCTAAAGCTAAAGAAAAAAAGTGTTGAGTATTTAACAAATTAAAATAAAATGATTGATTCAATATAAATATATACTTAATATACACTTAATAACTATTGAGAGACTTAAAAAATAAATCTTATTGAAATAATTAATATTTAGGAAGAAATTAAGTTTAGGTTTGTAAATAATACATTTAATTCTAAAAAAATAGGTATGTTTTATATAAAAGCTAAATTTTATGGAGACAAGTACATGAGACAAAAAATTCCATAATTCTAACATTCTTAGTTATATAAGTAAAAATAAATTAAATATATTTTTATTTTATTTTAAATTGAACATTACAATATTTTGAAACAAGTTTGAGAAAAAAATATTGTAAAAATTAAATTTATGTCCATATAGTACTTATCATTTTTTAAATTATTCTTTTCTTGTACTAGAATCAATGTAAAATTATACATGTCTTTTTTCAAACCAAATGCTACTTTTTTTTGCTACTTTTTTATCTGTAATTTAGTTTAATTTTAAGAATCCAAATATCTTATATTTTGCTAAATTTGTCTTTAGTTTTTATCTTTATTCGTAGTAATATTGTTAAGAGAATCTTATTTGTTAATTACTACAATTTAAAGAATATTATAAAAAAGATCCTTATTTATTTATATATATATATATATATATATATATTTTAGCCTCAAATATCCCTTTAAATTATAATATATTCTCTTTGCTCAAGTCATATAATGTAAGGTCTCTATAAACTTTATATACTTTCAACAATTAGATAATCATATTAAAACATGTCTTAATTTATAACAAATATGGGAATAATATAAATCATCAATAAATCTTAAAGTTTATTTCTTTTAGTTGTATTTTTTATGCCAATTATTTAAGTTTTATTTCTACATTATTGTCTATATATTCAAATAATACTATATATATATATATATATATATATATATATATTTATATACTTATCACATAGTTTAATTTTAAAAAGGCATATATTTATAATTTTGTATTGATTTTTTTTCTATTACTCTTTAAATATAAATTAGTGATCTAAAACTTATTATTTTGTAGAAATTAAAGCAATAACTACATTTAATATCTAATGTAGATTGGTTTTTATTATCTAATTGAAGCATCATCAAATAATAAAACATCCAATCTTATAACTCTTTATTTTTATAAGATTCCAAATCATTAAAAAATATTAATAGAATTCCAATTATATATGTATTTATTTGTTACAAATGCTATCTTTTCTAATCTTTTTGAGCAACTGATTGGAGTTTATGTTTTGAAAATAGAAATCCAATAAGATGACATTACAAAAAAAAAAAAAAAAAAAAAAATCAATATAGCTTGCATTAGCCTACTCTTATTTTATTTTATTCAACTATTTTATTATATTTTTATTTCTTAAATCATCAATACCATTTTTTATTATCTTAAATTCTTTTTTAGTCTTAAGTCAAACCTAAAATCCTTCATTGTATAATCATCATTAACTTAAATTTAAAAACATCAATTTTCATAATTTACTGTTGAATTGTGCTATATAAGAAATTCCGAGCTAAAAGAATTGCTCTTTTGCAATTCACTCTTTTGCAATTAAGACATAAATCTATATTTTATGTGTTTGGCTGATAATAATTAATTGAATACAATTGTAATTTACTATCTTTTGTTTTTTCATAATTTTTTTCCTAATATCTTTAACGACAGATGTTTTTTATTACATAAATTTGTATTTGTATACATGTTTTAGGTTTGCATCTAACAAACTTATTTATATGACCTTTACTATTATTTTATGAAGGGATTTCAAGTTATTTTTTAACCTCATGTTGATGTTCACCACCATAACCAGTTTTAGCCAGTTTCAATTGAATAAAAATGTCCTGAAATTCTATACAATGATAATGCCATTAATTCGTATAAAATATCAAATAATTTTTTACAAAGATTTAATTTATACAATATGCTTTTAACTACGTACACTTCTTGTAAAAATAAGCAGCTACTTTTGTAGTGTGCCTCTCTACATATCTATTTATCATTTATTACCCATATTTTATTTTTATAAAAAATAATATAATTATGAACTCAAAATCATTGAACTAAAAAAAAACTACTTCATATGAAATAAAATAATAGCTTTTTAAGAGCTTCCTTCTTGCTTCAGACTGAGGCAATCTCTATTATTGTGGATACTTTTGAAGTTGGTGCTTCAATTTGGTATTCATCTAGCAACTGAGTCTCCAACTCCGGTGGATGGCATGGAAACAAAGAAAGATCTAAAAGGAAATTTATGAAGCACAAGTATCAAAGTGAATATATGATATTCATGCTGATATAAAAATAAACACATTATCATTCGGACCTCAAACCAGAGATACCTCCAGAACATAATCTTTACATTTTGATTACGCTTAGAACAGGCGGCAACCATTACATGGGTCTCACTTCTCATTGACATAAAATGGACGTGTCTAAACTATTCCCACAAATGATTCAAACTGATTAAAAGTCTCAGTCCAGGCTACAGTTTTCATGCATAGCCCTTGGCAGCAAACATTGACTTAATGCATCCAAGCCATCTCGCAGAAAGCCCTCAATAAATGGGAACTACTAATCAATGCACCTTTGTACGATGAATCAATCTATTTACAAACTGAGTTGAGGCCTAATGTGAGAGAGCTGATACCCTAGCTTGGCTGGCGCTTTCATCAAGTTCGCTAGAAACAGCGGCTCAGTCCACCTCGCAAAATTTTGATTCGGTCAGATAGGGGCACTAACCCAGCCTTCTGAGTCACTGAACCACTTGCCTGCTCCTCTCTTACAAGGCCAAGTAAAGCCCCAACCTCGAGACATTTCATTGACCCAGTAAGTAGTACTCGAACAGGCATGAACAAACGCTTGCCCTACAATTATTTCCAACATCGCCAGTGGGCTATGAGTACTCTTGTCACCAGCCAGATTTGCAAGCAGTCTATTTTTATGATCTGTGAAGCGATTGGTAGTAAAAAAAAGTTTGCCTTGCGCTTGAAACTTTTTCCCATTGCTTTGATCCACTTGTTCCCAGCACCATGGCCTCCTTCAACGGCGACTTGCAACTCTCCACTGTCATTCATGTGCACCGATGATGGCGTTTGCAACTTCAGATATGTTGTCATCCACTACATCCTTCACTTCAGGGCTGCATGTAAAATCTTTGGTCAGGATCGAGGTTTCATGACTAGCTAAGATATCTTTCGCATTGCGTCATTTGTTGTTGCCAAGCGACGACAATGGTTGTATATCAGAAGACCCTCTTAGGAGCTTACAAACGAGAGGAGGAATAGAATTTTACCTTAAGTCTCCTTGAGAGGATAATGTAGAATGCTGAGCAAGTGGTTTCCAGAGTTAGCAACTAGCTCAGTCCCATTCTTCAGCAGCTCCATCGCCACCTGAAGCATCACGGTTTAGTTGTCCGCGTAGTCTAGATCATTCTTTATCCAAGTTGTTTCTGAAGGTGCCCAAAGCGGTATGGCAAAGACTGCCTGAGGGGTCTGTCTATTTGTTTTCCTAATCTTTATAGAACAAATCGGGGAACTCTACTACCATGAAATTAATATCACTTTTAAGAAAAATAACTCTCAGGGTAATGTATGTGTTGTGTTGCATTTTGGAATCGCATCAAGCTCTAAATACCACGTAAATAATCTAAAGAGCTACAAGTTAATTCATATAAGCATCAGAAATCTAATTTTGATAGAAAGCATATCATTTCAAAGTTTGTTTTCAAAAGCTAGACAGTTACATTGATAAATGATCCTGAGACTGACTCAAAGATGATTCCTGCCTTCAACCACTGCTCTCTGAACATAGTTGCTATATCTTCGGTCGGCATCAAACGTAGATGTTGCCCACCTGTTTTTGGAAGAACACGATAGCACCATGAGAATGAAACCTTTTCAAACAGACGAACAGAATACCAACGGTTCTGAAGTACTGCGCCACAACGAAAAATAGGATCAAGGCATTATCCACTGTGGAGCCGGACGCAACAGCTGTAGCTGAAACAGATAAGTATTTAGCGAGAAATGGTCGTTCTAAGTACCGAGATTATATCTTTACCCCAACTTTGTTTGATCAAAGATTGAGAATCTGTTGATGGAGGAAGAAACGTACTAATTTGATCAACTGTGAAAATTTCGTCCTCACATCCATCGTTCCAACCCAAAAGGGCTAGATAATTTACCATGGCAGGAGCTACATAGCCCATCTCCATGAACTGGACAGTCATTCTCATCGTTAACTAACAAGTCTTTTGCGGATCAGCCGTCAGGTGGAAGAACATCTTTCGGTTAAATTTTACGCAGTTTTACGTGTTTGAGAATGCTTTTAGTTACTAAATTAGTGACGGAATTATGCCCTGTGTCGTCAGCCAAAAATTAGAAGGGTCTTAAACCCTGAGATACTTATACAAAGCGCCATTGTGATTAAAATCCACGAATGATCAGAAGAGAAGGCATCAAGAATACTCACTTCGCAAAAAGATAGTTGAAAAGCGCAGTCCGAGCTCCGCCAACCTGAAGATTCCCAGTGAGCGATGGAGCAAACCGCACCCTGCCCTCGGAGCCCTTGAGTTTCCCAGTCCTGTCTCCTTGCACAGCTCCTTATGTTAAAGCTCTGGCAACCAACAACTCTCCCTGAACCACTTTCCCAGAATTCCTCAATCCAGACATACCCAACTTCTCGAGAGGATTCCAAAAACCCCCAGCTCAGCTCCCACAGGAGAAACGTTCCTGCAGCCTCAACGAATGGAACACCATCGTCTGCACATTTGCAACGCACCTCCTAGGACCACAATTCGTAGCGTGAGGCGCCTTCAAGGAGAAGGCAATAAGCTGCGCCGTGGCAGCAGGCGCCAGCCATGGCGTCCTTAATGCCATACCTCCACGGAATTCCGATACATCTCACAAAACCCGCAATCTTTCCAGAAGCTGAAGAAATTCCTCAAAAGCTCATGAAGAATCACGCTCTACTCTATCTCTCTTGCTCGCCTTCTCTCAGTCTCGCTCTCGCTCTCTCTCTCTCAGCAAACAAGGTCCCTATCAAGTAAATTAGCAGCAACCCAACTACCACCGCGCAATTGAGGATAGACCCCAGCAATGTTGCTACTGGCGATCCAATGGAAAATGAAGAATTGCGGCCGACAAGTGTGACTTCTGGTGATCGGGCGATGGATTCCCTACGTCGAAGCTCAATCCTCCCAACAAGACGTTCCTCAGCTCGCAGACTTCCAGTGGGGTCTTCAGCCAAGTCTCCAGCATCATGACAGTACGCGGCTCAGCGCGGCACCTCGCGTCAACGACCGGCATTCCGTATATTGTTCGATGTAAGTACGCCGTATTCGTGCGTTTCAGGGGCATGGGTTCGCCTCACAATTATACACGCAGCGATCCGTGGTTTCAAGGCCTGTTTTATGTTAGAAGTTGGGAACGAGCAACCTTGAAGTAAAAAAGTAGGCGTGAGGGAAAAAGTATTATCAGGAAAAAAAAAAACAATGAGAATGGTAATGATAAATAATGAGATGTATTGTGCCACAACGTTAAGTTTGACAATTAGTTTGGAAAATATACGACGTAAATATTTCAAATTGAAATTGTATTAGTTTTCGTATTAAGCTCATAAATCAATAAAAATTTATTGGTGATTTGGTATGTGATTATATAAATATACATAGATGTTTTGATACGTACATATGATTCTTAGTGTAAAAAGTTTGAGGTTATTGTTAGTTTTTTTTACCACATTCAGAAATAGATTTTTCACACAGTTTAAAAATATAACACATGCTTTGAATTATCCTGCCTTTTAGACTAAAAATGATGTTTGATATAAATCCTTGCATGAGTTCAATTATCATTATTATTTATTCAAAAAATCAATGTGTAAGTTCTTAGAACAAAATCCACAAAGATTTTTTTATGGCACACGATTATATGTCACAATTTTTGCAACAAAAACCACAACTTGATTTGGTGAAATTATGAAGATTTATTTTTTTATTTTTTTATTGTATATATTTAAACTATATACTATCTTAATCATCTTTACAGATATTTTGCATGATTTTAAAATTTTATGTTTTTAAAAAACATTGTGAAAAACATATCCAAATAAAACTGATGTGATTTTAAATGAATTGTGAATAAACAACAACTTCATCTAAGGTGGTAGAATGTTGGATTATTTTAATACATCTATTCATTCAACATATTTTAAATCCTGTCACATGTTTAGTGTCACATATTTGAAGTAATGCTATTTTAATTGACTTTTAATTTTTTTTCTTTGTTATTTATTTATTTTATCTTATCTTACTTTACATATACATATAAAGAGATAATTTATACATAAGCTCGTGGAATGTACAATCAATTATTTTAATATTTTAATAAGTATTTAATTACATATTAGTATAGCATGTTCACAATTGTAAAAAGTTCAATATTTGTAACAATAGTAGTTAGACTCTAGACACTAATTCAACCAAATAATATAAGTTGTTATATAATATAAGAGGCTTGGAGTAGACAAATAAGTGAATAAAAGTCAAACAAATAATAAAAAAGCTAATGAAAGAGTTCCAACACAAAAACTACTACATAATATATCTTTACATCAAAAGATCACAAAGATGGAACATGCTTTCTGAAACACATTGATCAAATGCATGAAGGATAAGTCCAAATTCTATTGATTTTCTCTCAATATTCCATACCTTTAAAATACCCTATAATAACCATAGTTTCTTTGCCCTTGGCAGCTTTAGCCACTTTGGGATTAAGCGAAGCAGCTAAATAAAAGGAATAGATTGAGTTAATTATTTTTGGATGTGGCCATATTTTCCACACCCTTTACTTATTTGGATGTACAATAATATTAGATTTTCACCCTCTCCAATGCCTAGTCTCACCACAAGCATTGTTAACAGTCTCACTGTTTTTTCTGAAATATCCACATGCCACGTCAGCAACCACAGTGGGATGGAGCCGCCAGGAGTTTCACCTCCAGCAGGCCACGAGGCCCTCTCGATTTTTTTAATTTGAGAAGCCAATCCTACGTGGCGACTACGACGACGACATTCCGCCAGCCGCAAGGGGGAAGGGCGAGGGCGGGGAATGCGAAGAATTGGAACGGAACGGAACAGGGGGTCATGGATATCTTCTTCTTCTAGACCACCGTGCGGGCGCGGTGAGGACAATGAAATCGAGGGCGTGGGGAGCAGTGGTACCGAGGATTGTACGAGAAGGTGCTCTCTCGCCATGATTGTTTCGACTTGGCGACGGAGATAAAAGCCGGGGATGGATGCCAATGGTGGGAAACCAACTGCGCATTGATGACGAGATTTGTCATTTGTGAGTGCGCAACTAGGAGGAGGTGGTGATGAGGAGGCGGGCGCACGTTGCTTGGCGAGGTTTTTCTGGTCCTTCTCCTGCTGTGGATATTTCGCTGGAGGTGATGGGTTCCCCCCCCCCCCCGGTCGAGATTCGCGAGTTTCTCGCAACGTGTCTGGAGTGGACGCGTTTTGGTTATGATTAGGGGAAGCGCTATTTTTACTTCGCTGCGTTAAGCGAGGGCCGCCCGTGTTTGCTGGATCTAATCAAGGCGTAATTCTGAACTGGTCGTAACTCTCCAACTGAGTTTGACCTTGGGGTGTTTGTTTTTCACGAGAGGAGCAAGTATCTTTGTGTAAGGTCCGTTTTTCTCTGTTCTGAGAGCCATAGGTTACGAACACCATGCAATCGTTGGTCCAACTTTGTTTTCGGGATACGTGCCATGTATCTTGCTCTCTTTTTCCTGGGCATTTTCCCCAGGTTTCTGTCGCACTTCAAGAATTCTTTGCGAATTCTGAATGTAGCTTGCTGGTGATCCCTTAGTTGTACTTCGTGTCGCTTGTTCTGGCCAGAACTGATTCATTGGAGCCATATAACTGCCCATTGTGGTCTCTTTTTGTTTTCAAACGTGTCCTGTTTTAGTGAATTCCTCTCAATTGAGGTTGTTCTTTTCCCTTGGAAAAATTTCGGTGCTTTGGCCTTCTGGTTGCATTCAGTAAGATTCGCGAGAAGCAACGACTCCAACTTAGGAGCCCCACCCCCTGGTGTCTGCCTGTCCATTCTTTGGAACTTTAGGTGTTGTCACTGTCCCTGATCTCTTAACATTCCAAATCCTCACTGCTTCACGCTTAACCGCGCGAACTTTGCTCCTTAGGGTGCTTCAGTTCTATTTCTATTTTGATTTTTGAGTTACTCCTATCTTTGTTAGTGTGACTTCAGAGTCACATGCCACAGGTTTCGCAAATGCAACCTTTTGTTCTTGAGAAGAACGTGTGCATCGTAAGGGATCAAATTTCTCTGCGTCCTTCTCGATGTTTCCCTCGTGTTGCGGGACCCGAGTCGCTTTGATTGTAATTTCCGCACCAGCCCTTTCGATGTGCTTGTCAGGGAGGTTCATAATATTTGTTTGTTTTTTGGTTTTTGTTCTCTTTAATATTTTTAAGGAAGAATTTGATTGATATGCAGCTGCTGCCCCTGAGGTTCTTGTGTCTCCCTCTTTCCGTGTATGTGTGTATATGTGTGTGTGCAGCTGAGTTTTTTGTCGTATTTTGCTGCCACAATGAGATTCTTTGTCACTTAGAGCTGCTTCCAAGTTATTGACCATCACCGCCGATAGTGTATTACCAAGAAAAAACTGCTCTCTCTTTTTTGCGAGGGATCTTTGTCTTCATGCAAGTCTACGCCAGAGTATTGGATTAGGTCTAATCCGAGATATTTCTTGTGATTGTTTTGCATTACCAGGGAGTAGGTGTGGGTTTATCAAAAGTAATCCTGGCATCATCTTTCGACAAGTGGAGCAAAAATAAATGTGCGGCATCTGTTATTATTTGGCTCCAAACTGAGTTGAGGTGGTATTGCGCAGAGGCTGTGAAGTTCTTTCTGATGCGTAGTCATCATAAGTTCAGATAAGCTAGGACGAAGTAAAGCTTATGGCACATGATAGGGTTCACTTGAATGTAGGGGGCAAGCATTTCGTCACATCTCGGACAACTCTTGCTAATGCAGGCAGAGGATCAATGCTTGCAGCAGTAATAGATGAAAATTGGCAGCTAGTGCCAGACGCAGCGTCTAATGAGCTCTTTATCGATAGGAACCCAGCCTATTTCACTGTCCTTCTGGATCTTCTACGAACTGGTGAACTTCATGTGCCTCCCGGTAAGAGAACATCACCATTCCAATATGGTTGGAACTGGATTCATGTCTCAATCAGATTTCTGCATGGTCAACGTAGAATAGTCTCAATTTAGGTCGTTCGTGTATTGCAGTACGCATTAGACACTTTGAAATCACTTTGAAGAACTAGTGTTTCACTGTTGACTTGTGATTTTAGGCATGTTGGAGAAACCTCTGTACAGAGAAGCTGAGTACTATGGGATACTTGATCACGTGAAAGCCGCACGCAAAGGTCCATTGAATGGAAATCGTCTCGACTGCGTTGCCTCTATTAGTGGGCGAGCTACTGGTGATGGAACTGCCATTCGAGCATCTCCAGATGGCGGATGCTGTGTTGCTCATGGAAGCATGGTACATGTCTATGATTGGTTGATGGAAGAGCAAACTCCACTTACCTTAGACTACGTAAATGTAAACGACGTAGGATTTCTTAGCTCAAATCGAGTTGTAATCTGTACCGGTGAACGCGAGAATGGAGCTGGCGGGATGGCATCTTTTAACACCAGGACTGGAAAAATTGAGCACAAGTTTCAGGTCTCAATCAATCTGAACGTGCACGTGATCAATCGCTTAATTTGTTACAGGTTGCGCTTTGAATTTGAATTGGGTTACCGCCCACTGAACCCTAGCCATTTGCACTCAATGCTGATTTTCTTGTCTAATTTCTCCAGGTCGTTCACGATGGTGAGTCGAAGAATTTCACGGCAGGTGCACTTGCTAGTAGTGATAAGCACGTATATGCTAGCTGCCGGGGTAGGAGCTACGAATATGGGGTCGGGACTTGGGACCAAATTACTGGCCAACAAGCATCATTCTTGTACGAAGGTCCGGGGCGCCCCCTAGGCGATGCTTGTAAAATGCAGTGGTTACCGCGTACAAATCTCCTCCTTGTGGCGAACTTGTTTCCGAGCAGTGATCATAGCTTCATCACTCTTCTCGATTCTCGGACAAAAGGAAAAGTAAGGTTTTTTTCAGGTTTTCAATTTTTAATCCAATTTCGATCAGAGATGCTTCATATATGATTGAAGTTACTCAGTTGTATTTTGATAGGATTATTGCTAAGCACATGTAGCAATTTAACATTTCTAAATTATTATTTTTTCTGTTTTTCTAGGTGTGGTCGTGGACAGACGCCGCTCTGCGAGGCACAGCTGATGAGAAGATAGTTATGGATACGGTAGCCATGGAAGAATGCTCCACAGTTTGTGTGGTCAATCAATTCGATAATCTTGGCTTTATTGATATGCGGGCCAACAATCAATGTGTACGATGGAGCTACAGATACCAACCTAGCAAAATTTCAGAGGCTGAAGAACGGTTCTATTCTAAGCTTGCTTGTAGTGGATCGCAGCTCTTCTCAAGTAAGAATGACAGCGTCTATGTTTTTTGTAGTCCAGACTGGGACGCTGCCAAGGGGGTTCAAACAGCAAGATTACGAAGAAAAGAGGGCGGAGCAATTAGTGACATCTCTGTCGGTGGAGACAGGCTTTTTGTGCTTCACAATGAGGAGGATGTGTTCGACGTGTGGGAAACTCCAGGGTCGTCACAAATTGTAGATATTTACTGAAGCACAGGTACTACCTTCTGTGAAAAAGTCCTAGCAACTTAAAAACCACATTTGATTCTTTTAGTGGATCACCATAAATGATTAGTGTTTATATTTGAACACATGTTCATTCAGATCCGGATGGTCTACGAAGCCTTGTGGTAGGATAGGCAACCATTTGAGTAGTTTTTGTGTCGTTCAGTTGTAAACGAGAACCACCCACTGAACTTGCACAGCTGATATTTGAGAGTAGTGGTAGTTGGACATTCATGAGGGTTTAGACAGCGACATATTGTTGCTCTGGTCCCTCACAGCCTCGAGTAGGCACGTTGAAGAGACACATTTCGTAGATACGTCTTCCAAAGACGACGTAATTCGACTTTTGCTAAATCCAGGGATTACTTGTAGACCTTGGCGACACTCTCCACAAGGACAGAGTAATATGTATGTAGTCTTTAAAGGACCAGCTTCTTGCAATTTCGAACATCCCTCCCCTCTTATATGCACCAATTAAAATCTCTCTGGCAGAAGCCAGTCTAGTTTGTAGAGCTTGGCTCCGCCACCTAGGAATCAATCGACAGATAGCATACATACGTCAATCTTCAGACAAATAGCAAAATTGTTTGCACTGTCCCTCCTGACCTGGTGAGTCCAGTGGTTGTCGACCAAATTGATATCGTATTCTTCCCATGCCGTCTATTCCTCTCAAAAGTAGCTCTTGAAAGCATATTCCATCTCGATCACGCTTTCGGGTTGCAAATTAGTGCAAATGCCGACACATTGCAACACCAGAAGCAGCTTCCGTAGAGAACTAGCTTCACCCTTACTACGTTGTGCTTTGAAAAGTCTGATTAATCATTGTCGAGGAATTCAACTTATTGTGGGAGGTGTTCTTTGTTATGTCTATGCTCATGTGCTGCGCTCTGCGCACTTGCTGTGTGAATAAAGTTGTTATTAGTTAGACTTGATAGTTCAAGGCCAGCCACCGAGATAGCACATCATTTATCAGTTTGGGACGGATCAACAACGTGCCCAAACTGGATCTCAGAGGAATGCGTGGAAGTGCACGGAGAGTTTAGCTCCTAAGAGTGCGTGATATGGTGCAAATGAACGGTACCCATGTCGCCAACATTCACAAGTTAGCAGGTCAAGAAGAAACACGAGTGATTGGTTGTGCATGTAATACAAAGGGGGAAAAGAATTCATGAGAAAAAAAAAAAAAAAAAAAAAAAAAAACAAAGGTTTAAAGTGCAACACATGGCACAAAGGCTAGTGGTGGAGCTTAGGAAAGCATTGCTGCCCGACCAGCTTCAGAGACTGATGGAATGGTAGATGAACTTGACGAGGAGAAGTCTTCATTAGAAAATGTGCTTTATAAATTTCATTTTTATTTTATGCAAACAAAAAGTGTAAAATTTATTAATCATAATTTCAAGAGTACTTTGTACAAATTCAAAAATTTAATAAAGAAACATTGACATGTTATATTGAATCTTACTTTGTACAAATGCAAATCTAATGATTTGAAATAATTTGTAAAAGATGCAAAAGTTAAGGATTTTATTTTAATGTTTGTGGTCAATAAGATTTGGAAACAATCAATTGAATTGATTATAATTGCTATGCACAATGCACAAATGATACACTTTAAATTATTGAATAGAAAATTTAGTAAGTTAAATGTGTACAAAAAACCTAATTTAAAACATACTTGAACTTTTGTTAAACAATTCCATTATTTGTTCATATCAATGAATTGTTTGTTTTGTTATTTTTTTTAAAAAATATTTAATTTGAGAATAGGCATGTAGTAATGTTTTAAAACCAAAGAATCTATAGTCATTACAATTCTATTTAAATTAAAAAATGATAAAAAATCAATGCTTACAACTATTGGAATTGAAAATTAGATATAGATACTAATGAAGATATTTTAAATTGTAGGCATTTGTGTCGAAAAAATATGTATATCATTTATTATGTAACTATTGAATTTGAACCTTATATTAAAATGTATAAACTATAGTCTCTTTTAAACTTCAAATTTTCTATTACAAAAAATATCTATAAGATGGTGGATTAGATATAATTTAGAACAATTTTTATATTTATATTGGCTATAATTTTTAAAAAATAAACACCACATCTAATTTAGATTAGAAGCCATTTATTAAAAATATAAATATATAAATAAATTAGATGTTGTACTTAAAATATTTTTAGCTATATCTTATTTTTTTGTAAAATTTAAATTTCTAATTGGTAAAACTTATATTAATGGATTATTAATTTAAAAAATATTAGGACCATCATATTTTAAATGTTGAATATAATTAAAAAAAATAGCATTTTTTAAATATATGAATACATTATTATGTGAAAATAAATTTGAGGATAATAAAATATCCAAATTTCTAAAAATAATTATTAATAAATTGTAAGTATTATTCAAACATTACATTTATATGTTTATAAAATTTATTAAAAATATTTATAAAAAACCTTCTGAAATAAATTACTACTTTTTTTTATAAGTGATATCCTAAAATATTTATTCAACTGATAATATAGAGACTTTAGCTGAGAATAAATATTACAAGATTGTATTAATGTTTTAATTACTTTTTATGTTAGATACTACTTATAATAGTTAGGAATAGTTAATTTTTATTTTTTAATTTTATCTAAAATGTCATACTACTAAGAAGTAATGTTATAATTTTGATCCAAGCAATTTTATTTTATTTTTAGAAATATATAAATTTTATTTGAAATAGAAAATTATTTTATTTTATGCTAAAATTATTATAAGGGATAATTTTGAAATTAAAAAAAAATGAGGGTCTATTGACATACTAAATTTTTTTATTTAAAACATAAGGAGTCAATGAAAATTATCAAATTATACTTATAGATGTAAATAAAAGAAATTATAGATTTAAAAGAAAATTTTGCTATTGATTAGATACAACATCTCTTTTCTTGGTACAAGATAGAAATATTTAGATAAGAAATTTGTTATACTATGCCTTGATTGTAATAAAGACATACTTTAAGAAGTTTGATAGTGATTTAAGACACATGTTTATAAAAAATAATTGAGGCTTTTTGTGATTAATATAATATTATACTTAAAATATCCATATTTTATTAAAAATAAATTCTTTTATTAGTCTTTTTATTTGATGCACATTAAATGACATAGATTTAGATAAACCTTTTAAAAAGCCAATATATTCATACATGACTAAGAAGAAAGAAAAAAGATCAAGAAGAGATATGTTTATAAATTAAAAACATATAAAAATGGCTATTGTCAAGTGAAAAGAACCAGTTTTGAACTAGGAGTAGAATATAAAAATTAAATTTATAAGACTAAAAAAAATATATATTTTTTTCTTTTTATTCTTTATATATCAATTAACAAGAATGTTATTTAGAAAGTTTGTAAGGACTATAAGACAAGAATCAAGTTTACAAAACACTTCTATAGTGGCTTCTTGGAAATAGAAAATTTCTTAGAATAGTTACTATGACTGCATAACACAAGTGTACATCTAGTACACAACTAAAATATTTTTTAAAAATATAGATTATCTTTCTAATTTAATTGTATTCACATTTATTCATTTAATTATTCATACTTATAATATCATCTTAAGTTCAAAAATCTTGTTTAAAAATGAATAGGTGATTTTGTAATTTTACAAATTATTTGTAATCTGAATTTATTGCAGCTTATTAGAATTTATAAGCTAAGTGTGATATATATATATATATATATATATATATATATCTTTTGGTTGTAACATTATGAAATAGATTTATTCTTAAAATATTTCATTCATAATATAATAAAAAACCAATACATCTAAATACCACAACTACAAATATTTTATTCAAAAGTTATTTTATACTATGTACTTATATTTAAATCGATCACAATTTAGACATAGATTTTTTTTTTTTTTTTTTTTGAACTATATGGAGTTATTAGATATGTTGGAAGCTTGTTATATTTAGCATATTTCTAATTTATGTTATATAATAGTACTTGTACATTCTAATGTTGGTTTTGAATATGTAAGAAGTCTATCATAATAGATTATTTAGATCAATATTATTAGAATCACATTTTATTTTTGATATTTTATAATTTTGAATATACTATGGGTTTGTAAGAATTAAAATGATACATATCTTAAATAAGGCTTTGTCTAGAATATTATACTTTATTTGCTAATTTTGGATTAAATCTATCTATCTATATATATATTTTTTTATTTTTTTATTTTTAAAAAATGACATCTAAATTATCTTTAATAAATAAGATTTAATTATTGTTGCATTTTTCACATATAATAGCCTATGGAAGATAAACTTCTTATATGTAGCATAATAATCTTTGAGTAAAAGTTTAAAAAACTTAAATTAATAATTATTGTTTAGAAATAAGAACAAGTAATTATTCATGCAAACAATAGTAGTCACTTATATTGTAGAACAAAATACATCATTGTAATAGTTGTGTGCTAGTTTTGAAGTGCTGCTTAGCAAAAAATTATTTGATATCAATACAATAGTACGTTAACACTAATGCCTAGTAAAATATTAATCTATACAAGCAAAAAAACTATATGATTATAGAATATAATTGGTTATTATTCCAACTTAAGCATTTAAAGATTAGCATTGCACAAATGTATTTTCTTTAACTTATTGTAAAAAAAATAAATTTCCTTCAAAAAATCTTGCATATCTAAGGATAGTAACTCAAGTTAACACCATTTTCAAACTTATATACTATTTCAAGTTAAAAATGTCACACATTTGTAACCTACATGATTTCCTAAACTAAAATTGGATCTACACATCATTTTATTTTATCTTATTTGAGTTTTAACTTAAAAATAGATAATATTATTTTCCACCAGCATCGTAGTTAATAAGCCCTTAATTATCAATTACTGAATTTATCCTCCTACTTTTGTAAAACAATGTGACCATGTTTGTGAAAGACATGATAATCTATGAACACAATTTTAGACACTCGATTAAGTAAACACTGAATTAAACACTCAACAACGGATGAATGTGTACACTAGGGGCTTTAAATAGGGCTTTGTTATTTCCCGTTCACACTGCAGCCAACTGATCCAGATTTTTGCTTCTTCTTCTTCTTCTTCTCATGTCTCCTCTCTCCCTACTTCGAATCTTTCTCAGCCTCGCCTCGTCTCGAGAAAATTGTGTCGCAGTTTTCTTATTCCCGTCGCTTACTAATTCAGGAACGAAGATTGAAGCGAGAGAGATCGAAGCAGCAGATAGATGCTGAGACTTCTCTGCTTCCGCAGCTGCTGAAATTCATGCCAGTTCTGTTTGTGGGTCGGGTGAGTTGATGATGATCCGATCCAGAGAATAGCCGAATAAAAATGTTGTAACAACGTTGTGTACTTTTAAGCTACTTGCAATGCCAAATCCAACGTAGAACGTTTGGTGTCTTTGAAGACAAAAGGCGAAGGGGTTGAGAGACTTGAGCTCGCAAGGTTTCTTCGGAGATTTGACCGAGGCAGTCGTAAGAAGATTCAAACGGACGCACCTCAAGTCTGAAGTGCTATTTGAGTGGTGAAGTGATTGTCTGTGAAGGGCTAGAGCTGGCTAGTGTAGGCCTCCGTTGAACTCATCTTCTGATTGCCCCATTTTTTTAAAGAACGTCAAGATTTCTTGCTTGCCTCAGCTTGTGTTTTTTCGTAATGGCGAATGACGCACTGGTCTAATCAAACCCCACTCTTACTTTCTTTAATGCCGCCATTTCTGTACTACTGAGAATGGGTGCAATAATTTGACACGTTCTTAAGTTCATGGTTCAACTACACTAATGCTAGAGTTAGGAACAAAATTCGTTCTGGATTTAACAGCTGTCTGAACTAATGAGCAAATTGAGAGTCAAGTCCACTATTTTATTTAGACGTCTTTTCTAGAATCCTGTTAGCTCAACATGGGATGCCAACATTTCAAGAAGGATAGGAATATACTAAACTGCAACAATTTTACCATGTTTTTGCTCAGATTGTATTAAGACGGCTCTTCTGATTATGTTCTTGTTTGGTTCAACTCTGCAGGTGTGGACGAGAATGATGGAACTCACGGATGAGAAGGAAAAGGCCAAGGTCGATCATGCAGTTCTTGCGGTAAATTGACTGTTGTTGATTTGTATTGGGATACCATGCTTGCTGATAAACCACGTCCTCTGTCTTTGATATAAATGAGACTTCCATTGTGTTACGGTCGACTTGAATGGGTTTAATCAATCAAATAGTATTGAGAAATTCAGAACCCAGCGAGTGAAATTCTTTAATATCAACCCTGGACAATTACACAGAACTCCACCTCAGCTGATTTATCTAAATTGTTTAAGTTGTTTGGACTCATTTAAATTCATGATGCCTAAACCATAATGTAGGCTGAAGAGCGCAGGAAGAAATTGATTTGGGATCGGAGAATCGCAATGAAGCAAGCAATGGTTAGAAGCTCGTTGCATGTTGTAGTCTTTTGGAAAAAACTCTTAATCTATCATATCATTTTCTTGCAGTCTCTTCTTTTGAATAGCACCACTTTTGCAACTTACGTGGCTAATTTTTTGCACCATTTCAGATTGAAGAAGAAAAGCGTAGTAGGTTGAGCAAGCTGCAAATTCACAAGACCTGGCGTAGCATCATGCGAGAGCACTCCATTCAAGAGCTTAGGGGTGATATCAAGTGGATGGCCAAGAAGCATCTCAAAGAGGTGAATCTCCTTCTTAGATATGCATGTCTGTACGAGTGATTGTTAAAAACACTCTTCCGGTAGGAGTACAGTCACGTTAGCAATGCTGCAATGATTGTACACGAATACTTCACGGTGTTCTACTTCTAGAGGTACTCCTCCTCTGCTATTATTACTCCTAGCTTGAAATTCACAAACTGCCGCATTCAACCACCTAATTCTTTCTCTAGGCATTCAGGTTGAAAATAAGGATCGCCGTATTCACACTTTGCTCAAAGCATTAGAGGAATCAGAGACCCAGCATCTTAAAGCAACGAGTAGCCACTTCGTTATGCTGGACCAGATGATAAACGTTCACGATGTCCGATTACAGGTTCTCTTTTCCGGTTCTATCCTCGATTTAGTATCCATTTCATTGTCCATGAATGTTTCGAAACGACATGCTTCTTTGTGCCAACCAGTTGCATCATGATATCTCTTAAGAATAACAACTATCAAGTGAAAATAGTTAAACATGAAAATAGATTTCTTGTCCATGATTTAGGGTTTAGCTGCAGTACCTAGTAATCTTAAAACAGAATGGGTAAAAGGTGTGGAAGCAGGTGGGAAGAAGACCAAAACACTGGGGCTTTTTCATCGATTTCGGGGACAGTTTACATTATCCTTGGGCACTTAGGAGTATACTTATCAGCATTATTCTGTGCTTGAACTAGGGATTCTACAGTCTATGGAACACCAATTTCAAGCGCAGCTTCAGAATCTCAACCAGAGCTTCTATGATGAGCGTGATCAAATGACACAGGACCTCATTGGAACGAAATGGGTGTGGACCTCCTACTTAGTGACGTTGTAATTTTCTCCGCACTTTAGGCAGCATGTTGTAATAGGAAGGTGTTAATCTTGAAGGCTCTTTCTTTCAAACACTGCTTTATCTGATATTTTGGATGGCCGCATAATATAATTCTGATGGACCCTCCTGATTCCACGACCGAAATTGGAGGCAGGACATGGAGGCTATGGTTAAAAATATGAAGGCACTTTTCGATGAAGAGACAGTCGAGAAGAGGCAAGAGTTTGAGGCATTCTTAAAAGACTTTGAGGTGCGTTATTGTCTTCGCAGAATACTTGCTGATCTTGCAAGAACTAGTAAGTTCATGGATTTCCGTGTTCTTAATCATGAGCTTCGTCACGAATTCCACTTAACATTATGTGTCTCAATATTATTCACAAGCCCTTCATATTAACTGATTGTGGACTTCTAACAAGTTAGATATCAACGTGGAATGGTAATTGTTCTTAATGATCTCCAGGACAAACGAAAAGAAAGCAATAGCGTTATGAAGATGATTTACGACTCAAAGACAGAAGAGATGGAGCGTGCCATCGAGCGGAGACACCATGTGAACTTTGCATTGCCTACAACAATTTTCTGCTTTCTGAACACCTTCATGGAAAGCAGTAAATTTACAACTTTTCTTGTGTCATTCACAGGCTGACATTTATCTCGATTAACTCAATTGTGGAAATCGTACTTATACTGGTGGTGGGGACATTACAAAATGTAGGATTTTATTAAGCAAAATAAAGCTAAGCAGGAAGTATTCAAGGAGCTGACATTCAAAGACGAGAAAACATCGGAGCTTTGTGCTAAGCGAATGCGGGAGCTTCTCACTCTCCATGAAAAGACATCGTGCATGGTGAAAGCAATGCAAATCAAAGGGTGTGAAATGATACTGTCCAATCCTATAATTTTGTTGTGCATTTACACTGTTTTGAGCGACGATTGCAACAGTTTAGAAGAGCACGGTAGTTTTTAAATGCACGGGCGTAGTTTCCCTACTTGCTTGAATGTTTAGGCCGTAAGAGTAGGTTTTCCTATCCTTGGATAAGCATCTGTATTGGAAAATAGTCATGGACACCCGAGGAACTAACTTGTGCCGTCGATTCATTGTCTGAAATAGCAAGGAATGGGACGATACTAACAAGCATCTTGTCGATGAATATCGGACATTACATGAGCATATCAGAAAGATCAACCGTCATCTAAGTAAAATTGCTCAAACGGAACACGATGACCTTAAGGTAATTAATGTAACTTTATCATATTGATTCGGCAATGTCCATACAGAGTCATCAGGATCTGACTTGATTATAACTAGTAGGCTTACGAGGTGCTATTCGTCTTATGTAGAGAACATCACTATTTGTTAATGAAGCCACACAAGCCTTGAACAAAGTTTTGGCGTTTGGGCGTGGACTACAAACACTAGCTCGTCTCAACAGAAAGGTGAAAGACAATGAGCTTATTCTAAAAATATCAACACTATCAATAAGATTTCTTCACCTCTAAAAATTTACTATTTTCTTGAAACAGTTGGAGACAGAACATGAACAAATTTTTCCCTTCAATCCGCTGTATGAAACCCCTCTTCCTTTGGCACCTCTGGAGAGCTTTGATGAAGAACTGGTCTATGTGGCAGATGAGAAAACGCGTAAGTTTCTTACCATTTCTGTCCTCTGCTCTATTCTGCTACTGACATCGGAGTAATTGTATGCCGGATTGGCCATTTCACTTCACAAGATAGGTGAGCTTCTGCACACTTGACAAAATCTGCTTCAACCACTGATCTCATGTCAAAAAAGTAAGAAATTTCTTTTAACTATAGGGATGTATCAAAAAAGACTGACAGATTGCAGGCCACAGCAATTGAAGAGCCCTCACCTCCAACATTACCCACATTTCACTGGTCAACACATGCAGTGGATGACACTGGAAATGAAGTTGAAGAACTCGACTGTTTGAAAAAATTTCAGAAACGTTACAATAAGGTCCAACCATGAATAAGCTTTGGTCACTTTGTGTTTGGATCCATTACGCTGAGGACGGTTCTTGCGTTTGGTACATGCTCGATTTGCTTACATCTATCTTTTAATTTCTATGTGCATGCTACTCATTAGATCATTGTTTGCAATGCCCCATGTGCATACGTCGAATTCAAACTTTTGAAGCTGGTGCAGGCAATGTTGGATAAGTTGGCTCTGCAGCTTGAGAGGCGGAAACTCGTGTCTGAAAATCAACGTTTGCATCTACTCGTTTGTAAGCGGTTGGGTACTCACAGTCACTGAAAACGCCAAGGCGAAGGCAAATTGTTAGGTAGTCCTTTTTTCTAATGCACATGTACCATGCACACATGCTTTTTATTAGCTCCCATTATAAACCTGCAATTTTGTTTTCCACATGTGCAGGCAGTTGACCGAATCTTTATCGATTCACTTTCTCTCAGAAAATCCACGATCTCTAAGAAAAAACCTAAGGCTTCTCCACCAGTGGAATGATTCCTTTCTGTGTCAACGGCTTCTGAAAGGCTATGGGCTAGTTTTGCTCAAGCTGGACGTTACCAATTTAAGGTTTTGAATTATTCTGAGAAATTTAGCTGCGAAAGCCAGTCTGACAATTCTGTTTCGGTGTCAGTGGTACAAGGATATATGTAGATCCTCAAGTTTTCACGTTGGATCATTTTGATTTCTGGAACAGCGGAAAATTCTAGTAGCTTTTGTTGGTCGAATGTGGTAATAGAACTGCCATCAGTATAACCACGCAGATTTGCAAGTTGAGGCTTCAGTGAGTCAGTAACCTGTTGTCCCTAGTCAGTGTTCTTAGCCACATATGGTGCATAAATGTGCACATAGTCTTTGTATACACGTGGCTGTTGGCTTTATCTTTTCTTTTCTTCCTGTTCGTGCACCATTACATATTAGACGCATCTTCCAGCCCCTGAACTCCTCATGAGTTATCACATGTGTGCACCATGTGCTCTGATTGTGAGGCGGTCACGCTTTTCTTTCTTTTGTTTCTTTTTGTTGCAGTATCACATCGTGTGTCAGGATGTACCAGTGAGTTCGCAACTATCCAAAATGAAAACACTAGCGCAGCATTTACTTTCCTCTTGCACAGACGAGACATTGACTGTAGTCTCGTAACCTATCCCCAAAAAGGGTACCCACTCAGCTGGTTGGTGTCGGGCTCTGGTCCCGAACAACCGACCTTAAAATCGCAAATCAACAGAGTGGGATTCGAACTTTCCCGATTAAACTGTGAAAATACAGGAACAACCACATAAAAACTTCGAAGTATTTTAATTCTGGAGTGAATTCAAGTACAGTTTCGAATTTGAACAAGTAATTCGGACATGTTTAGATGATCAGTACGAAAATTGCCGGTTTTTCCTGGACATTCTGGAACACTGACCCACTTTAGTGTTGAACTGTGCACATGAGTAAATACTACCTTGGAAAAAGGGATTGGTGGTCTTGATGTGACTCTGCAGTTGCAGTTTTGTTCACAGGAGAGAAACTTCTAAGAACGAGAGAAGGCGGTTTCGTCTTCTCACATGAAGTGGCCAATTTAAAACCTGTCAGGACAGTGACAGGGTGTGCTTCATTAATGCTATCTATCAATGATTTCCCATCTGTCACCATGCACGAGCACATCGACACCGTCAGTTATTTGAGCTGAAAACTCAGCTGGGCGGTTTGATTGCTCCCAAGCCATCTGCAACAGCGATTCGCTGCACACATATATCGTATCCTTATTACTCCTCAACTGTCTCGTGTCTAGGAGCCTCATGCTCGCACTATTGTTGCATTGAGCTGAAGCTATGGCGACGAGCAAGAGTGAAACGTCGAGGCTGGCTTTCCTTGCAGTCCTTCTGGCACAATTCGTTCTGCAGGTGCCCAGTGTAAGTGGTGGCAGACTTGTCCCAGCTGTAGTATCTCATGGAAGTAGTCCAGATAAATCAATATGGAGAGATGGGTTCGCACCAGGAGTTAAACTCAATGCACGTAGTCTGAGGGCGGAGAGGGAACTATCTGTTGACCAAGAAGAAACTAAGAACACTTTTCACAAGGCTCCTGTGGGTCAGGTGAGTCGGAGTTACGAACTCTGAAAGCTTTCTGTTTTGCTTGCAGGATTCTGTGGAAGGTTAGAACATGCTGGCATTATTAAAATATTAAGTTGCGAGAAGGATTCATCTTTCATGGGATGGTTGTAGACATGAGTTTGAGGGTCCTCATGGGATGACGGTCACCAATATGCTTGCACCATTTTTCCAAGAGAAGGAAAAGAAAACAGGATTTATAGGTGCAGCAAGGCTTACTATACTCTCAAGGGAGACAAATGATACACAAGAAAACTTCAGGTCCCGGAACTAGAAAGTTGTTTGGAGTCACAGTCAATTGCATTTTGCAGCGTGCATTCTGAGCCACCATGTGCACGTTGTACCAGTCAAGGAATGCTTGAGTTCCTCACTGAATGGATTGGAATCTCAGGTGAAGACCGTCGAAAAGCCACCAGCACCCAAGGAGCATCATCCTTGCCCTGGTCCAGGAGGTAATGGCCAAAGTGGGTCAGGAAACGCTGGTGGTAAAGGGGGCGACGGGGGTGGCTGTGGAGGTGGACGAGGAGGTCGCGGAGGAGGACCTGGAAGCCCAGGAAGTCCCGGTGGAGATGGTGACAGCGGAGGGGGTGGCGGAGGAGGTGGTGGAGGAGGTGGAGGTGGTGACGGTGGTGATGGAGGCGACGGTGGTTGGGCAAAGGTCACTCACGTTGACGATTCAAAAACTTTTGCAGGTAACGTATTCTAGTTTGACAATCCTCGAGTTTCAGCCGAGGAGACATTGTCTTGGTGATGGATTCAGAACTAAACCGCATGTGAGCTCGATTCTTGCATTACCTGACTGCAAAGATCCAATTCCAGCAGGAATGAAGGACGGAAACAACGGCGGTTGGGGAAATTCGCCGTCAAACAATGGCGGCTTTAAAACTCCGCCCACAAGTGATACTAACAACGGAGATGGAGACCATGACGATGATCACGACCACGACGATGACAATAACGATGATCACGATGACGACGATGACCACGATAATGACCATAGCGGCGGACTTCCAGACATCATCCCTGCAAATCCTTTTCATATGCCTCCGATTCCTGGAGTCGGTAAGAGTCCGAGTGGTGGTGGTGGTAGTGGCGGCGGCGGCGGGGGCGGGGGAGGTGGTGGCGGTGGCGGTGGAAACAGCGGGATATGCATCGGCTTCTGTCCGGGAGCAGGCGGTGGCGGTGGCGGTGGCGGAGGTGGACACCATTAGCTCCATTCTATCTACTAGTTTCGATGCAGCAAGACGATGACAGTATGTAACTTGCGATGATCGATCCAGAATATGGCGTGATTCGTGTATAGTAAAACTCGGGATATGGCCACAGCACAATACCATGTAGAAGTAATGCAAGCAGCCCGAGAATTGTGAGGCGAACTTGAACGATAGTGCTTAACTTCAAACAAATAAGTGAGGTGTTCTGCACTGTCTCCAGCAGAATCAGGTGATCCGGTGTGCTTTAGAACGATATCCGTACAGGAAAAAAATAAAAAAATAAAAAAATAAACTAGAAGCATTTTGAATACCACATTGCAGTCAACATTGTGTTGATCGGTGTGAATGTTCGTTGTTAGCTCACAAGTATGAAACTGACAAACACGGTGATTGACTGCGAGCTTATATCCCGTCTTTTCTAAAAGTCCGATCTTGGGGTCCCATTTCATTGCAACAAGCCTGAATTTTGTGTTGGGTTTTGAAACATGAGAAGCTGGGTTGTGAAGCTTGCAGTGGACAGTCTTGACCTTGAATGCTAAGCTTGCAATTCCAGCACTAACTATGTTAACAAGCTAGAGCAGGGATTGAATAGTAGCAGTGCAGCGTGACTGTATTTTAAGTGAAAGTTCCTTGTTACAATGTCGCCAGCAGCTCTCTTTCAGTGCAGACTCCACCACTTATATGCTATTTCATATATTAGAAGTCTAGAAAATAGAATCTGGACTGGGTCGTTGTATCACAGCAATGACTATCGGAACATTGTGTTGTTAGGGAGGTGCCCTTTATCAACAAGTGAGGTATACACTCTCGTATGTTCCATCCTTTCATGTCATTTCTTTAAATTCTCTTCTATATCAAGCTAATGCAACTTTGTCAAAAGACTATGCGAGTATAATTAGTAATATTTCTCTCATAATTATTATTTATACATGGCTGACTAATAACTTTTATGATTTGCACCTTCAAAACATGTGCTTTTTAGAATTTTTGAACTGGAATAGAACATTATCTTGAATCTTTCTTTCTTTCTATTTAAAATTAAAAGTTTTATAAATCTTTAATGTTGTTTTGAACAACAAAGTAAGAATATCTTGTCCAATATGATGAAAGTATGAATTGCATCACATTCACATCAAAAAAAACTTAAAATATCACTTTTATAGAAATTGAACTTGCAATTAATGCCCATAGAATTTCATGCAGTATAGAATTTCCTGCATTAGGAATTGAATTTGTATCCTTTAGATAAGTCCATCAAGATAGAAGTTGGAAGAAAGCTATAGAAGCAAAAATGGATATAATACAAAGAAATCATTTGTAAGATTTGATAGATTTACAAGTTGGCTATGAACCAATTTCAACAAAATGAATTTACATAATTAAGAAGAAACCTAATGGAAGCATTCTACATAAGAAAGCCAAAGTGGTGGCACATCAATTTGAGCAAACTAAAAAAATTAATTTTGGAAAGACTTTTGCTTTTGTGGCATGATAGAAAATAATATGTGGACTCATAGCCATTGCCCCACACAATGCCTAGGAACTAAATCACATAGATGTGAAATATGCCTTTTTTTATATGAACCATGATAAAAAAATTTATATGCTTCAATTAAAAGATCAAGTTCAAGTTGTGGCTAGAAACAAAAAGTGTATTCCTTAAAGAAAGTCTTGTATGGCCTCAAGTAAGCTCCATGATAATAGTACAAGAAGATTAATACATATCTTTTGAGCCAAGGCTTTGTCAAAAGAAAAGCTAACAACTTGAATATCTTGGTATACAATATGTAAATTCTTGTATTAATTATATATATTAATGATTAATTATTTACAAGTAACTATAAGACTTTGAGATTGTGGATTAAGGCTCAAGTAAAATTGAAATATGAAATGAATGGCATGGAAGAAAAAAGCACAATTATATATCTTCAAGCCAAGTTAATCTACTTATCAGGTGGTTGGATCTTTCTTACAAAAAGATATTATATTTTTGAAATTTTGAAGCAGTTTGGTATGTTGGAAGCTATGTCTTATACTACTATAAGAAATAAGAGACTTAGGCTTTAAAAAGATATGCCAAATATGGCTCTTTTAATAGTATTTTACTTCATATGTATTATAAAAAAATAATATGCATTAATGAAATGTGACTTGAAATAGCCTACTCTATAAGAATTGTTAGTGAATTCATATTTGTTCCACAAGAACCACATTGGAAAGCAGCTATGCAAATTCTATAATACTTAAAAGCTATACAAGACTATGGCATTTTATATAAAAGAAGAGAAAGAAGCATCTTAGTGGATTATACCAATGTGGATCATGCCTCATATCTAGATAAAGAAAAGTCAATTACGGATTATATCTTTCTATTTAGATTAAATCCTATTACATAGAAATCAAAGAAATAAAGTTATGTGGTTGTTTCTTCCACAAAATTAGAATACATGGCACTCTCTAATGGTTTAAGAGAGGCCAAATGGCAAAAAAATCTTTTCTATAATCTAGAGAGAGATCAGACAGAGTCTATCCTCATTAAATATGACATTACCAACATGATAAAGATGTCTTAGAACAATGTCTATTATACTAGAATTAAACACATACATGTACACTTTTACTATATCAAAGAAAAATTGGACTAGGATACAGTTTAATTAGAATATATATCAAGCCATCAAATAGCTAATATTTTATCAAACCATTGAAAAAAAAAAAAAAAAAAAAAAAAAAACCTTCACTAAATTCAAGAAGGCCTTGAACATTTGCTCAACTTAAGACTTAACAAGCTAAGTTTGCATTACCATACTTACAATAATTGTGTGATATAGCTAAGTCTCTTCTTATATTCTTCTACATTGCTTAATGATATCCTCCAAGTTGTAAAGTATTACATTTTAATAGTCATTTATCTCTTCTTAGCAAGACAACTTGTTGGCAAGACAATCCAAGTGAGCACATTCTTTATTGGAGTCATCACTCTAATTAAAGTGTTTAAACTCTTTATTGGAGTCATCACTCCTTGTATGCCCATATCATACCAAATATGTCAATCTTACTCAAAATCATGCAACCTCTAATTCAATGTGATTAATGCACAAATGAAAAATCTACAATATTTGAAATTTTCTTTATCATGTTTAGAAGAGGGTTGTAGAATTTTATTAGAATAGATAGTAAGCTTATGCTTTTGTTCACCTAAACTTCAACTGAGATATAGAAGGTGATTGAAGTTCAGATTAATGACTTTTACTACTGATTTCTTAAATATAAATCCTAACTAGTGTTACTAAAATATATTAAGCTTCCTTAAAATATAAATATTTGAGCCAAATTAGAATTACATTTATATGTTGTATTAAATATGACTTCAAAGGGTACTAATACATGTGGAACAATCAATAAGAGGATAATGTTAGTGTAAAGAAATAATAAACAACAATCAAAATAAGAAAGATCAAGAAACACTATAAGAAATTTTATATTAGATATTATAGAATGTCAAGACATGTGTTTGATGGTTTGCTTTTTTTGCATGATCTACAACATCACCAATAACAATGTTCTACAAATGTGTCATGTTCAACACTAAAAGAAGACTCCTACAACAAGATTGTTAGAAAAACTAAGCAAGAAAGATAGGAAAAAGTTATATTTATTGACATGTTTCTTGACACATGCAACATACCACTACTTAATGGTGGCTTGTCACTTCTTTACCTTTAGAGTATAAAAGGTGACAATAATCACCAAAGATATGATGATGTTTATCATTGCACTCTAATGATCCACATAAATAAAAGCATCAATTACTAACATAGAATTCAATGTAAAAATAGAAAGATACGTAGTGCAAATAAAAAAACTCACAAGTCCATTTTTCTAATGACTCAGATCTAATGCTCTAATAGAGACCTTGAAGAAATGACTTACTTGTAGGATTTTATAGGAAATTAGTAAATCCATTCTAATTAAACCATGAAATGCAATCGTTGTGTAAACATGGGTGGCCATGATGCACTTAAATGAAGGACTAAGATGCACCCAAAGGCTGAAGATTATAGGAGGGTATTAATATTAATATGTATATCTATGCATACTACGCCTATATTTACCTAATTAGGGCCTAGTGGACTTAAGTAGGATGGTAGTTGAGTGCTGCCATTAACTGTATATATTCCTGTGCGCTTGCCACCTAAATTCATCTCTTACCTTGGTAAATTGTGATGAGGTACTAGCAGATTTTAGCTGAAAAGTCAATATCTTATTCTAGAGCTTTGCTAAAGAAAAAGTCACTGGCCCTTCCGTGGGCTAACTAACAATGGTCATAAGTTGTGTGAGATTGTCTTGCAATGTCTCCAACACTTCTGACAGAGGGGTATATGACTTGCGTATGCCAGAGGCCTGCTTCCGTACAAGGCATTCCTTGGCTGAGGAGTAACAATATAATTATAAACAATTTCAAGCACCCATGCAATCGGCTTGTGAAGAGTCGAATTCACGCAGGACCAACATAATGAAAAACCATTCATGCATTAAACAGGCTAATGACGAAAAATTCAACGTGATGAAAATCACCGAACTTTTCTAATCCAATACTGCTAAACCTTACGGTTTCCTGGCATATTGTAATAGCACATGCTGCATTAAATGACGAGAACAAAAACAACATGACGAAGTTCTACAGGGTAATGTAAAACAAGAAAGAACAGAAAAAAACGTAAGGTAATATTGAAAATTTTAAAGAACATAGGATAGACGTAACTGTAAAGATTTCAACATTCACCTCGAGGTCCACCGTATATTTAAAGAAAAAGCACTGAACTGTTTAGGGGGTGCAACCACATTAAAGAATCTAATTATAGACTTCACTCCATTCAACAGACATGTGAACAGTGATTAGTATCTATTCAAGACAAGATGCAGCAAAACTGTAGATATCGTTAAATAATTTCCAAATATATACATATTAGAACCTTGTGATGCATACCATAAAAATGACAAGAGCATTAAGTTAAATCAAATGACTACTTCCATAATTTTTTTTCATGCTAGCGAGTGAACAACCACACAACATCAGCAACAAAAACGTAACTTTATATTTGTTAGAATTAATTGAACACCAAATGCTTAGAGACGAGAATTAGAATTCTACAAGATGCTATTACCGACAGTTTTCTTCACCAACACTCCTACAACTTTGCTCACGTTATGTTTCACACATTGCATGCAACAGTTGGGGAATACTGAAGAAGATGAAGAAGACAAGTGGGTACAAGCAGTACTAAAACTCCCAAACGCACGTGTTTCAGGACCCCTGTGCTCTATTCCAAATGCTGCTAACAACTCTTGCGTTGCCAACCTCGCAATTCTAATATGTTGTCGCTTATCTGTGCCACAGAAAAAACAAGGTAATTTATGAGATAAGCATAGAAAATTACGATAAAACACACTTAGAGACCGTTTTCCAACTCATGATTCTGACCAATTTAAGAGACTCAAACAACAAACAATGGATCAACAAAAATAACTCTTTCAAATTCGACTAAAAAATAAAACTTTATTTTAGCGAGATGAGACAAGACAAACTAATAATTAACTAACATCAAATTACGATGACTTGTAAACGTTAATGCTAGTTAAGGAAAGAAGATAATGTATACCAATATGCCCCAAACGATAGAGTGGCTTGAGCTCTGTTTTTACATAATGAGCTAACTGTTCTTTCAATTCTCTCCTCTCCCCAGAGCTCCCTCTTGCGCGAAGTCTAGGGGTTTGCTGGTCTTCAACATGTGACCTCCTTCCACTTCTGTCCACAACGCGATGTCCCTCGTTTTCACCAGAGCTGCCAGGCATACTCCCTTTTTCACGATCTCGATCATTGTTATCTATAAATGTTCTTAAGTCCCGTACATTGTTTTCCTGAATACCATGAACAGAACTGATGTCCCTTCGACCACTGATTCGACCACCTCTATGATCACTTGATCTACCACCTACCGCAAGACTTCCTTCCCTTCCATCTTCTCTATGGCCTCTTGGTGTGCTTTCAACCAAGTGGTTGCCTCCTCGCACATCATCTCTTCTTATAATTATGTCTGTCTGATTACTTAACCTGTTCTCTATCAAACCACTGGCCTCACTTGCAATTTCTCTTCTTGGGTTTTGCTGTTGACTTTGATTCCATTGAATCCTAGGCCTATTTTCTACAACTTGATGACTATGTCTAGCACTTTCTGTTCTCACAATTTGCTCTCGCACTTGACTAAACCTTGGTGAATGCACTGCATTTCCTTCCCTGCTAACATTTTTCCCTCCATGTGTAATATCGTCATGTTCAAGAGCCCTAGTTGTTGGCGCAGGATTTGGAGCTACCCTATCTCCTCTTAGAGCCCGAGCGTGTTCCATCATTGCCCATGCCTGAGAAATATCATTACTTGGCTCAGCTGATTGATTTCGTCCCGCTTGAGATGCGAGTGTCCTTGAAGCCGAACGTGAAATAGATCCAAATTGTACTTCCCCTCGTCGTAATTGATCCCAGTTATTCCGGATATCATTAACTCTTTGACGTATGATCCGCTGTGATGATAAGGTGCGTGCACTTGCTGGGGTGGATTCTGAACCACTGCTCAATGGACTGGACCCACTTGGTTCTTGGATTGGTATGGCAGCTCGTGCTTCTTGTGATAATGTAGGAGCTGGATGAAGTCGAGTGTGCCTATCAAATCGACATGTCATCAATACATATATCTATACAAATTCTCTCAACTTACCAAGAGGCGTATACGAAAAGGTCGTGCTACTCAACAACAGAGGTACCTTTTATTGTCGTACTTCCACGAATTTAATCGCCAGAAGATGAAGTTACCATAAGGTTTCATTGCAAAACCAAGACAGACTCACATAATATCAAGCGTAAGGGTTGATCGCATGACATGTTTAAAGAAACACAAAGTCAACTCTACATTTCGTGCGACGGTTACCTGCGACCGTCTTGATTCAAACGGGAGGCTGCAGCTCGTCGTCGGGGTCGCCCCCTTTGAATGGGTTGCTCTTCGACCACTACATTGAGCATATGGCTTGAATGATCTTCATCATGTTCCTCATCTTGTAAGTCATTAAATCCATCATCGTGCTCTTGTGATTCATTATAAACCTCATCATGGTCATCATTCTGAAATCCTTGCACCTGAATAGAACATGTATTGCAAAACCAATCTCCACGAGGAACTTTCCGGCCTAATCCAACGCAATATGTATGAGCTGCTGCATCACATCCATCACACAAAAGAAGAAGCCGTTCATCTCCAGCCTGTTGGCACTCAGTACAGACCACATGCAGATACGGATCTGTGAACAAGCGGATCTCTTCTTCGGACGGCTCATAAACCTGACATTAGATTATACAGGGCCATCAGAATGTTTCAAACAGGCTTTGGACTACAAAACTTTGTTACTATCTAGATCGTTAACAGATCTAGCACATTTCACAAGAAAAGGAAAAATAAAATGAGCAACTAAAACCCGTAGTTCAATTAAATTGATCACATAATCATCAATAAGATGTACGTACCTGATTTTTATGAGGAATGTGGAAAGTGCGTGGTCGGCTACGCGACATGCCTGGCACGGGAAGTTTTACTATTGTCACGAATCTTTGCTTACAAATAGGACACCGCGATTCTACTTTGGACCATTCCATGATACATCCAAAGCAAAAATAATGGTCGCAGCAGTCAAGCTTGCCTCTCCCAACCTCCTCCTCCGTCAAGCATATACCACATGCTTGCACAGCCTTCTCCTCATTCACGAGTGAATATTCCACTTTTCTCTCGACATCTTTTTGATCTTGAATATTAACTTCTCTAAGTTTCTGTTTCCCCTTTGATTTATGATAATATTCTTCTCCATCTGAGATTGATTCCTGCTCTGTAGAATCAGAAGAACTATGGATAGAGCTTTCCCGTCTCCTCCGTTTCGATGCTTTGCTGGTCGTCATTTTCTTCAAACAAGCGTGTTTGAGTCCATCAAAGCCTCAAGCTCTGCAGTGAAATTTGAATGATTTCAATGCAATCCAATGACGCTATCCTACGAAGCACTTACAATCAACATCTACAAAATCGAATTCCATAGCTTAAGGAAATACTTCGCCATCACACAAATAAACGGTGATATCTCGAGGTTCCAAATGAAGTGCAGACTACCAGCTATCATTGTTGTAGATTGTATGATAAGCATTTAAACCTCCTTGACTTAAGTATAGGAGACACATTATACATCTCAATTGCAGCCATAATGAAGGGGAAGAAATTCTGAGAACAGAATATATAACCAAATGAACAAATAAATAAATAAGAAAGAAAGAAGAGAGAGAGAGAGAGAGAAGAAGAAGAAGAAGAAGAAGAAGAAGAAGACAGCAACAAAGTGAGGCAAAGAACCTAACCAATTAATAATAAAAAGAAGGCCGCAGCAGTAAGTACGCAAGTGAGAAAATATATATATATATATATATATATATATATATATATATATTACGAAAAACGTCAACCCTAAAATTTGCAAGAGATTGACCAGTTTAAATAGTATGGAGATATGCGCAGGTAATAGACGTGTCACACTTGCCCATTCCAGGACATAGATATGTATTTAATCTAAAAAAGAGTGGCATGAGACGCAAAAATGTCAGCCACGCATGTCTACATACGGGCTCGGATCAGTTGAATCTCTGAGAAGTGACCATCATGCCCTACAATTGATAATTTACAGAAACATTTCTAGCGAAAGACCAGAATTAGAGAGAACTAGCAATTGCAAGAAGAATCAGATACAGAAGTGATACTAATATATGTCATTGAAGAACGTTCTTCAGAGGTATCATCGAGTAATTATCATACTATACTACAAATAAGCTATTTAACAGGAGAAGCGTCGAGAGTATTCACGAAGAATAAAAAGCACACATGACACACATGAGGAAAGCTTAATTATATTCATGAAATAGAGGCTGAACACATGACTTTGAATTGAAGACCTTTGTAAGAGATCCTAGCACTTTCCAAATCTTAGCAGTTCATAATCTGATCTTATTTTCAAATCTCGAAGCTGGTTATGCTAAATTGCTACGTAATTATCTCACGAATTCCAGATCTTCCTCGAACCTAGATAAAGAATCGGAAACGCTAATTATTTCCACAATCTTAGGGCTGGATTCAGTTTGCAATGCACTGAGTGCTTGTCACAGCACCACATCAAGCTTGAATGTCAAGAATCGTATCAAAACAGAGCAGACAGTAAGAGAACGAAAAAAACTCCCCTTAAGCCTCGAATTAGCACAAACATAAAAATAAGAAAACTCAATATTAAAACGATCTGTCATCATCTCAGACAGAAAATGAGCCCTGAAGGAAAATGCCCTTCCCCTCGCCACCCGATTGCACACGCCTGCTTCAACCCGCTAAATGCATACTCGCACCTCTTCTCTCACACAGCTTTCACGATCTCCCCGCTGGAAAAAGAAAAAGAGAACAGAAACAGAAAACAAAACAAAACGAAAGGAAAATCCCAAAAATAGAAACAAACAAAACAAAATTATAAATAATAAATTAAATAAACGAAGAAGAAGAGGAAGAAGCTTGAAAAAATTGCATGCCCTGAAATTAGACGATTCGCTGGCACTTCATCTGAAGCCTGTGGATCGATTGAACAGAATTACTGAAGCAACAAGCGGCATAGCCCGACGTCGAAGCAGTCCCACGTGTGAGCTCTGCCAGGTTGCGATGCAGGCGCTCATGAAACCTCTTCACCGTTCAAACCAAACTTCCTTCGTCGCAAAATCTACCGATTCCTTAGATCTTTCATATTACCAAATTTGGAAGTAGCTCCTAGTTTGATTTGTTAGATTTTAGCCCTTGCGCATTTCGCCTACAGCCCCTGAGCTTCGGCTAAGGGAACCAAAGTTCACACTGACGGGAACACAACTCGAACCCATTCATGCCAATCACATTAAATTTATATTAAAAAAAAAAAAAAAAAAAAAACTGAGAATCGTTTTAGTTTTCATTTTTTTATTATTTTAATTATTTCTAATTTTTAGTTTTTTGAAATAAAAAAATAAAAATTAATTTCATATCATATCGAAATTTAATTGTGAAGGGAGATTTTAAACCTTGTGATAAACTATGGTAGCTTTCAACTCTCCTACTTCAGTTAATAATCATAATAATATTATTTTATTTTGAAAAAAATAACTGATTAACCTCAAAATTAAATCATTAAAAATATAAAATGATAATTACTATACCTAGAATTATTTTTTAATTACTCAAAATAATGACCCATTTACATTTTTATGAATTAATTAGTAAAAAATAGTTCGTAAAAATAATATTAAAATTTAAAAAATAATATTAAAATTTAAAAAATAATATTAAAAATTAAAAAATAATATTAAAATTTAAAATTGTAAAAGGTTTCATTCAAATTATTTTGAAAATTTTAATACAGATTTATTTATTTTAATTATCTTATTATAAATATTTTTATAAAAATGAAGTTATATATATAGGGTTTGCTAATACTACTATGGTTTTTGCTACTACCACCACAATCCCTATCTACCACATGCCACTTTAGTGGAATACTATTCAAACTAATAAAACTTTCTTTATTCAATACCATTTAAACTATTTGATTAAACATAATTTTTTATTGGAATTAAAAAATTAAAAAAAAAAAAATTAAAAACATGTCATTAGCAAGTAGGTGGATTGTAGTAAAAAATAGTAAAAATTGTGGTGGCATTAGCAATATCCTATACGTTATAATTATAATTACAAAAACAAAATCCTCTATTTAAAACATTATTAGAATTTAGGAGGTTATATATATTTTTTAATTCAAACACCTTCTCATTCTTTCCTATACATGGGTACATGCACTTTTTTAGTTATTAAATCTAAATTTATTTTAACTTATTTTAAAATTTAGTATAAAAAATATTTAAAGATTTTATTTTAACATTGTAGCAATGAATTTCTAATTAATAAGCATAGAATATAAAATTAGTAGATTTTATTAAAATCTGAAAATTAAAAATTATAATTTAAAAATTCTCTTATTAATTGTTTCACAAATTTTTATATAACTTTTCTATCAATCCTTAAAATTAAGAAACATAACTGGTTATTTCATTCACATTTAGATTTTTCTTGTACATTATTGCTTCTTTTTCTTCTTTTGCAATACAAGTGTGTTTTTATATTTGTCAAATTTTAAGTACCTAAACAATGTATTAAAAAACAACATGTTTTCATTCAAATTATAACCATGCCTATATACTATTTTGAGGCCAATTTTGAGTATGCTATTTTATTTCAGTTTTTGTCATATTTTAACAAAATGCTATGATCTCATGATACAATGCATTTAAAAATATTATAATACAAAATCCACAACAAAGTAATTTTTTAGAAAATTAAAGTTAAATAAATAAAAATTGACATGATTATTAGAATTTAAGTCATATGAATTTTAATACTTTTTGAAACTAATCACAACTGAATTTACTTATAAATGAAGGAAAGAAAAAAGAGAAAAAACAAGAAACTTGTGACACATTAAAAAAATATCTCTAAACATTTATAAAAGATTAAAAAGTATCTAATATTACACCTATTTTCACAATTATTTGATAGGATTATGTATATAAAAATATATGTAAAATATTACAAGTAAAACTTATAAAAATACAGCAATACTAATCTAATCAATTAATTTCAATAACTATAACTTTTGAATAACGACTTTTATTAAAACTTCATACAACTTTGAATAATGACTTTTGAAAGCAGGTGTTTTCTTTTCTTTTTTTCTTTTTTGTCTAGGACTTCTAATCAATAAACATAAAGAACAATAAATGGACAATGAAGGATGCCTGTGGCAAAGGGATTGTGGAGTTCGAGTCTAAACTGGGGACCCAACTACTGCATCGATTTGTACAAGTCTCAAGCATGAGATAATTGCAGTGCAACCTAAGCATCAATCATATAAATGAATTCGATTCAACTGTAAAATTATTGCTTCGAAGTATCTTTATAAAACACGATTGAATTGTGTATCGACTATGTCTGCATTATATAGGACGACCAAAGAAAGGCTTGGGTAATCTCTGTAATGAAGTATATCCATAGTAAGGCGTAACATCTTTCCTTGTTTACTAGTGCAGTACCGTGCAAATGTGGCTGCAAATCGACCGAAGTCCGCATCTTTGCAAAAGCATCGCTGAAAATGTGAGAGAATGAGAAGAATCGAATTCTTGTGCCTCACGGAGAATTGGATAACGGCCATGGAAAGGCCAGCACGATAGCTTACCAGTGTCAAGGACTTAGGTGAGGCCTTTCTACGTGCTCTTTGGGGGCACAACGGTGAGATTGAACATAATTTCGACCTTCAAGGCTAGAGTGCCGCTGCTGAAAGGGTCCGCAATTAAGACAATTAAATCACCACCTTTCACGTCAACCTCCGCCATGGCTCTGTACTACTATTACTCATGACATTACAGGGTGTAGAGTGAAAGAGTCCGTTTGCAGTGGATTGCAAATGAAACATGCTTCATTCTTGATATTGCTTTTGAATCGATCCGCATCGGTTCGTTCCGAGTCTCGAGCATAGCCTACTGGTCTATAAACCATGACCACTAATTGAGGTGTGCCTCAGCATAACGTGCAACCTTCATGAATTTAGCTATGATGTGCAGGGTGAACGAGGAGTCTCATCTGTCCTTGCCTAGGTTGAGATTTTGCCAGTAGGAACTACTAAAGATTATTACTCCCTGCACAGTGTGATCTGTTGCTGAATTTTTGTGTTCTTGCACGGTAAGGCTAAAAAGCCGGCATCATTTAGTGCACAAAACAGTGCATTTCCAACTTCTCAACAATATGACTTGCAAACTCAATTTGAATTCGAGCACATAACTTTCTCACGAAGTACTTCATGGCCTCACCGCTGAGGTTTGTCGTTGCGAGCACGTCTTTCAAACAGAAAACCAATCTCCTCTATAAATTGATGTATCCTTTGACTGGAGTCATCACCAATCACTTCTTCAGGTTCTCATCTACTCTCAAAGCAAGCAATCGATTCATCCGTGAGTGTTCCAAATTGCCATGGCATCCCTAGTCAATTCAAATATTCCGTTGCTTGGACTTCTGGTGTCGCTACTCTTGACTATAGCCGCAGCAGGGTCAGAGACTGTGTATAACCCGGGCAAATTGCAGGCCAATGTCCTGACGGATGCCGGAACCGTTACATTGCAGCCAGATATCCCCATTGTGACCATGGATACCAACCAAGCGGAGTAGAGGATCTAGATCATAAATCTTAACTTGACTTATACGAGGCAGATGTGGAGGCATCCAAGGAAGATGAAGAAAATGAAGATATTTAGGTTGACACATGCTGAAGGATGTGCAAGTTTGGAGGGGGTGAATGTAGTGCTAGGAAATGACGTAATATATAAAAATAATATGAAATGTTATGAGAATTTGGTTTGCAATAAAGAAATAAAAAAATAAAAAAATAAAAAGACAAGAAAAAGAGATGGAAGAGATCAAAAGAATGAAGTGAGAAAAAAGATCTTGCTTATACTCATAAATTTTTAGTAGATTGCATCTTGTCATAACTAAAGGGATAGGAAGCTAGTTGATTGTATTGTTTTCTTGCCTACTATTCATACTAGTAGTTCCAAGCTATATATTACCTATGTCAATTAATAAGTCCAATAAGAATCAAACCTAGATAAGTTCGAGCAACATGAACTTAAGCAACAAACTGAGTTCATGACTTGGTGTTTGATACTATGTATATGAAAATTTTCACTTTCATTGTCTTAATTTTTATTGGACTTCAATCCTTAATTTTATTGTTGTTTTTTTTTTATCTTTCAAATTTCCTTTGAATTTTTGAGTTTATTTTTAGATAGTTTAGACCAAGAAGTTTTGTTAAAAAAGAAGAAAAAAAAAGAAAAAAATAGTTATAGATATTGATAGTTTATCTCTAAAGATAAGTCAAAATAAGTTGGTATGAGCTTAAGATGGAATGCCATGATATTGATATAAAGAAATATATGGTGAGATAGAGTAATATGGTATTGAAGTAAAGAAATATGGAATGAGATAGAGTGACATGGGCTTGTATTAACTTTTGGACCCTTCTTTTTTTCTCTTTTTCTTGCACTCTCTCTCATTAGATATAGTAAGCCACTCTTTCAAGGTTTTGACATAGTATATTTAGAATTTGAATTTGAGATTTTTGAAGATTTTTTCTTCTCTTTATAGTCTTTTCAAAAAACTTTTACTTATTTTGAGAGAAGTTAATTACCTATTTGATTGGATAAAAATAAATAAAACAAAATAAAATAAATTTTATAATATCTTCTAGAAAAGTTTATTATAAGCTTCATAGATGCTGCTTTGACTTTACACATATTTGTACTTAATTAATAGATTAGAAACTTGGTCAATAAGTTTGCCACATGATACATGTCTTAGTAGCTTGTGGAATAAACTAACTATGTGGTACACTTATAGATAACTTATTTTAGAAGTTAAGTTATATATCTAATAAAGTCAACATGTATTGGAAGTCTAACAAAATATTGCTATGTAGCTCCTAATTAAATAATTTATATGGAGGTAAGAGTGAAGCCTTCTTCATTTTTATCAAGACATTTTTAATCTTTAGTCTTATTTCAAGTCTTTTTATTCTTCTTGTATTTAGTAATAGCCATTATAATTTAAT